GGCTGCCACTGCCTAGTTTCAGCGCCGAGCTGCTGGGCACCTCCGTCTTCAGCAACCCGTACCGGCAGGCGGAGGACGCGCGTCGGGCCGTTCTCGAGAAGCACGTAAAGCTGACTACGGCGCCGGCCGACCTGCGCCAGATCAATGGCAAACAGGTGTGCTGGAACTACCGCAAGGGCCGTTGTCGCTTCGGCCGCGGATGCAAGTTCGCGCACGACTCGGACCTGCAGCGAAGCGGTGACGAGCCGGCCGAGCCGCCGCCGACGACGACGCACGAGCCAGGCTCCAAGCGGCCGGCACCCCCTGTCGACGGCCTGGTGCCCAGCAAGAAACGGCCAGGACTCAGTCAGACTCTTGTGCCAGGCAAGAAGGTGGTGAAAATGTATAACAGGACACGCAAGGGACCATTAGTGTGAGACTCGTTGCGCTGGGGAAGATGCCTGCAAGCAGTCATATGCATTGTTTGTTGTTTTATTTGTACAGCATTCTCATCCAAGCACATATTGTTCGCCCGAGCGTTTGCAAGTGCCGGCTCTTTTGAAACAACGGGCTTAATGGATGCAAATGAATGAACCCGTTTTACAGAGGTGTTCTTGTCATTGATACGGCGGACGAACGCGCCGTTGTTTGGGGAGTCTGAGGTATTACCAGTCATCCCGGGATATACTTCCCTATTCAATTGGGCAAAGGCTTCATCCTCCCTCCCCTCAGTGTTGAGAAGCGGGCCAACTGGAGCAGAAACCAGTTCACTGTCTATTTTGGGGGCAGGCTTAATCATTTTCCGGTGTTCGGCCACCATACCTCATTTTGCGAAGCTATGGCCCTGCAGCCGTCGTCACGTTTTGCATAGTTGAGGGTTACAAACACCAGATGTACCTGTACATTGCATGCCGTAAGAATACATTTCTTGACATGGTTATTCGTTTTCCGTATTTCCGGCCGTTCAGTTATCGTAGAAATGTCTCAGACATATATGGTAGCTGTGCGACACGTCTGAAGACGAATGTTAGGGACCAGGAATGTAAAGTTCTTACGTTGTTTTTATCATTTTTTACCGTGAACCTGATGTTAAATACGTTATGCTAGTGTGTACGCAGGATTTCGTGATCGTGTGGAAGATCAAGACCCAGAAGTTGTTAATAAAAAAACAAGTAAAGCGCGCCGCGTGTATGCGCAATTTCTTATGTGCCCTGGAACAGCACTACATGAGGTCAGGGTGTACTTTCCTACCTAACGTTAGAAAAAATCATTGTACACCATTCGTCGTGTTTAAGGCATGACATATCGTAAATAATCTCAAAACAGGTAGAATCATGCTCCTACCTTCGAATTTCAATAACTTCGATGGCGGGCCCCCGAGCGCCGCGCGCACCGCACCGCCTGGACTCCCCAGCGCCGTTTCCGCGTTGCCGTTGCGTAAATACAATATTTCTGCGTACCAAGAACTGTACAAAATGTACGGGACCAAAGTAAACCATTCGTCATGTTTAAGGCAGGACAACCACAACCTAACTGCGAACCATAAAAATATTTACTAAACATAAACCATATTTACCATAACCATATTTACCATATAAACCATATTAACTGCGAACCATACTATAAACCATAACTATAACTATAAACTATACTATATAAACCATACTATAACTATAAACCATATTTACTGCGAACCATAAAAATGTACCGGGACAAGGTAGCAAGAATCCATGAAATTTGATCCTCGACGCCAACGGGACCATGGGTTGCAGGGGGATTGGGTGGGGAATGTAAAGCAAAATGAGAACATGGCAGCTAAATAAAAGCTCACTATATGGCACCCATATATGGCATGGAACATGGATGCCAATGAGATGCTGGGTTGAAGGGGATATAGGGTGGGGAGGTTGGTTAGGTTAGGTTAGGTTAGGTTAGGTTAGGTTAGGTTAGGTTAGGTTAGGTTAGGTTAGGTTGGGTTGGGTTAGGTTAGGTCAGGTCAGGTCAGGTCAGGTCAGTCTAGCTTAGCTTAGCTTAGCTTAGGTTCTGGTCTATTCTCAGTTAGGTTAGGTTAGGTTAGGTTAGGTTAGGTTAGGCTAGGTTAGGTTAGGTTAGGTTAGGTTAGTTTAGGTTAGGTTAGGTTAGGTTAGGTTAGGTTAGGTTAGGTTAGGCTAGGTTAGGTTAGGTTAGGTTAGGTTAGGTTAGGTTAGGATATGTTCTGGACTATTCTGGCCTGCGTGTTTCATAAAAGTACCTAAACTCGATAAGAAACGATTTTGGTTGCTTTATTATTGTTACCTTGGTCCCGTACATGTTTTATGGTTCTTGATAAGCAGAAATATTGTGCTTTCGCAACAACGTAGAAACGGCGCTTGGAAGTCGAGGCAGTGCGGTGCGGGGCGTGCGGCGCTCGGGAGCTCGCTATCGTATTTATTAAAATTCGAGGGTAGGAGCATGATTCTATCTGTTTTGAAATTATTTACGATATGTTCCGCCTTAAACACGACGAATGGTTTACCTTGGTCCCGTACATTTTGTAGAGTCCTTGGTAAGCAGAAACATTGTATTTACGCAACGGCAACGCAGAAACGGCGCTGGGGAGTCCAGGCGGTGCGGTGCGCGCGGCGCTCGGGAGCTCGCCATCGAAGTTATTGAAATTCGAAGGTAGGAGCATGATTCTACCTGTTTTGAGATGATTTACGATATGTGCTGCCTTGAACACGACAAATGGTGTGCAATGATTTTTTCTAATGTTAGGTAGGAAAGTACACATACACCCTACATGATCTCGATCTGCTGGTTTCTTTGCGTGTGGCTGGAATTTCGCATTGCCGATGTTAAGCTGTGTACCTATTGAAGGGTATGATCCACATTTGAAGATGTTGAAACAAGCACCAGGTATGATGAGATGAGCTCACTTATAAAGGTACGAGGTCTGTTGGTATGTTTTGAAGCGAAAAAAGACCAGCACAATTTCTCTGTTGTGTAAATATGCTCGTCGAAATATCATCATTTAATTACGTCATCATATCTTTTGCAACATTGATTGAGAGCCAACTGAAGACGGTTATATTCGTAAATCGTGGTCACGAACGTCAGATGTTAACTAGTGGGCACTTACATTTTTTTGGCCCGTATCGTCGCATGGCTTAGGAATAGCAGGATTTGAATGACGTGGCGTCGCGGATGCGTGTGTGACCTTGAAGTAGTCAGCCGAAGTATTCCGCACATCTTCGCGGGCGTTTAGCCCAGAAACTAGAGGGGTCATGCCTTAAGAGGGGCGGGGCTATGAACTGCACCGAGTGTTCTTTAAGATGGCTATTTCAGTTCAAAACCTCGTGCAAACGTAGAGCACTCCCTTTAATAGATATCACAAACTTGGTAAGCAGAGTGGGGCACTTGCGTGCGTGTGCGACGCACAGCTCTAATTCGCGGTTTTCGAAGGGAACTTAAGGGCGAAGAGCGTCCGTTGGCACGTATGGTTTGTTATGACGCGCTAATAGCGATTTACTAAATGAGGGCGACCACACGGCGCTTGTGAATACATGACAGCGTGCAGCGTATTTTTACACTACGAGCGTGTGAGAACAAACGCTGCACGCAGAGGATAGTGCCGCGTGTGTTTGATAGCGCTGGCCTGGGGCTATTGAATGACACCCAGACTTTGAGGTGGGTCAGCGACGCCAATTTCTTTGACACAATCCCCACATATATGTATATGTGGGGATTGTGTATATATATATATATATATATATATATATATATATATATATATGTCATATCACGCGAACCCTGATACCCTACTTCCGAAGGCAGGTGGCTGCCGGCCGCATGCGATTCAAACTTTTGACGGCATACACTTCGTGTTCGTTCGAGTAAGAAGCTGCGCCGGCCGGCAGCCGTCTCGAACAGCGTCTCGTCTGGACCTGCCTTCTACAGCACACCACGGAAGCGCAAGGTGCAAGTCCGTCCACCGTCATCATGACGACCGACCAACCGAGGAGATCAACCAGAGCTGGCCTAGCCCAGACATCCGTGCACGAGGATGATGAGCGCGGCTTCATCTGCGATCCCGACATGCGCCGCTTCCCACCGCCCTCACGAGACTCGGCGTCAGATTTGGTAGCTTGTTGGGTGCTCTGGGCGCGGGCTTCAAGTGCACCTACGTCTTACTAGGTACGGGGTGTGCGCCATTGCATACAGATCGAAGCAGGATTGGACGCCTTGCGTGTCCCTCGTGTGTCCCTCGTGTCACGTGTTCGCACGTGTTGTTAGTAAAGCTTGTTAAGATGTCCGCCGTTCCCCCAACACTGACCAGGTTCGCAGCGTAAGCTGATCACGGACATGGACGAACACGCAAAGTGACCAGCAGGGTGATGTGCTTTCCTTACCAAAAGTTATGACATGTTTAATGTGTACGTGAAGAGCATTGTTAGCGCCACAAAATTAGCGGTTCAGTCAATATTGCTTGTAAAAACTTGCATCTAGGGGTCTTAAAACCTTATAAGCTAGATATATTTTAGGGTCTTAATATCTAAGAACGACAACTGTTTCGATTTAGAATCAATGCATCATGTATGTCATAGCATATATGGTACAAGCAATGCTATGCCTGGGAGGTAAAAAGACGCTCGTGCTGCTTTGATCATAGTGAATTTTTGCAAACCAGCTTTCGCAGCAAGGAGGTAGATCCAGAATCCGTATCCTTTTCTTTTCATGGCGGTATAATTGATAATCCACCATACGTCTCCGAACAGCTAATGCTGAACTGCTTTTTTTTCTCAGGAATCCCCAGCATCCGTGATAGAGGTTAGCCAACTATTAAAGGTGAATTTAGGAACTGCTACTTAGCCGGTTCATGAGTCGAAGACCGCGTCAAATGGGTCCCGCGCCTTTTAGGGTCGATGTTTGGAGCGAGCTGCCTTAGCTCGGCTACCTTCATTCCGTGATTTTTAGGCGGAATGGGCTCCGCCATTCCCACGCCCATGAGGCAGGGAAGCATCGGCCACAGCACGGATGCTCTTATCGCTGCATTTCGGCCGGGAGCCGGCGAGCTCGCCTTTACTTTTCGCACCAAATGCATCACGCAGTAACGAGACAGACCCATCCCGCGTCTCACGATGACGGCGTAGACTTACGGGGATCATGGGGCGGATGGCCAGATAGCTCTCGCTACATCAGCTCTGTCTGGCCTTCGGGCGCGGTTTCGGCCACCTGCCTCGCGGTCCATTTGACAGGAGGCCCTTGGGTCCTGTTGCGGTCCGCAATGCGCGCGGTCGAGGTGGCTACGTTTTTCGCGCGGTAACTGAAGAGCTTATGGTGTTTCGGCTACTTGGAAAGGATATCTGGCAACGGAGTTAATGCGCTCTCCTTTATCATCGGAAAAAGCCCATATGTCATGCTCCCAGGGCGTTTATTGTTGCTATACACCGATGTTCTTGGAGGTTTTTGTATTGCGCCAGAATCCCTCTGGTTCCGGAACGTCTCTGGCTGATAATATTCGGAAGGCTGCCAGCTAGGCTACCAGATACAAAATGTAAACATGCGGGTGGTAGGCGAAGGAGGGGGGGTGCTGGACGCGGGTGCTGTGGGTGGCCTACGGTAAGGTGTGTGGTTGTGAGCGTAGGTTGTGAGGGCTGCAGTGGCTATATAGGAAGGAAAAATTGTTTGGACATGTGGTATTCCCTCAAAAGGGTGGGAATCATACAGTGGCGTTGGTAACTCGCCCATGTCTTATCGTGGATCAGTACCTTGAATCTGCCTAATCAGTGATCAGGTTATCAATTTGATGCAGTCAGGAAGTTTTGGATGTATTAGCGTTTGTTGGTGGCTCGTGACTTGTGCAGGTACAAAAATAATGTTCTGTCATGATTTTGTAGTGCATGCCCACCTGTGAACATTTTTTCCAGTGTGTAACCATCCAAATGGGGTATCTTCCATATAGCAGAGCACACATGACTGGTGGCACTCCAACCTGTAACTGTTTTGACTGCTAAGATAACATTTTTTGCTCTACCACAAGTAAAAATTGTCACTTGGATGTTTATCCACCATTAATTCTCAACATGTTTTAAGAAACTTAAGATGTATCAAAAGCCATACTATTGTTCTCTTAAATAAGTGACATCAGCATGTTTGATTGTTTTGTCAGTTAAGGTATTGCAATGGGTTTTGGTTATGTTAACTATCCTTTACCACAGGTCTCGACAAACACTGACTTTTGTTTTGTATTTAGTGAAAAATACTTACCTGTCACAAAATCCATAATGTATTTCCCCAAATGCAGGTGCATAATGAGTCAAGAAGTGCTTCTGAAGCTTGTGGTGCATCAAAAACTTCCACAGATTCGAGGAGGTAAGCTTTTTTCACAGAAGCCTGGGAGATATGTTTTCTTTCAGTATATGTGGACAACATTCATATCACAATGTCATTTAATGTTTAACTGATATGTTGTGAACATTATCATGGCTGCTCATTTTCTTCAAGGGTGTAGCTGATATTTGTTTCCCACTTCACTACCACAGTGTGGCCTACAATCTGTGTTTGTTCAGTGATACTGTGGTTATATTTTGATGATGAATGATATGTTTCCTGATCCTTTTGCCATCTGGAAACTGGTTTTATTGCTGTGCTGAATCAGATGGATTATGATTTTGTGGTTTATTCCCACAGAATCCAAGGAGGAAATTATCCTGCATCCATGCTCAGTGCCAGGCTTGGAAGTTGGCAAGATAGTGGAGATCTCCCACCCGGACCTAGACTTTGCTCGTCTTTTGCTTCAGGTTTCATCTGGATCCCTCAGGGATGATCATAAAGGTGAATGAACAAGCCTTAATGACCTGGATGACAGTGATCACAAATGGAGTTATGCAGCACCAGTAATAAAGGTTGATCACTTGATAGCACAGGGTGTAATGTTTGGGCATAGTTTTGTAAGATCAGTTTAGGTGAGGGTAGGTGGATGCAACAAAGCAGATTTCTCCATGTATTTCAGTTTTTTTCTGTTCAAGACTGATGTGGCTGACATGATGGCTGGAGTTTGAGTATAAGCCAATGCAACTGAACACAAAATTATGTCTGTCCATTTGCACATTGATGTGTGGATGAATATAATATAAGATATATAAATGAAAATGATCAGAAATGAAGTCATGGTAGGGAAGAGTGGAGGCCAATGAAATAGAATTCATGATCATGCTGCACGATTAGAGCACCCAGTTATCCACCCACGTGCCAACAGCAGAGACAGTTGCACAAATAGGCTCCCTGGTAAAGATGCTTTTATGTGGTCAATGCATTTCTAATAGGGGCTATTACTGGTGGTTGTCTGCATGTGTGGTCCATGATTTTGACCAGGCTTCACCCACCTGGTTGCTGTGACCTGGTCTTACTCTGTCCCCATTGACTCCATCTCCATTGACTCTGACCCTCACAAGTCTGCCCCTGTTGACTCTGTCCCCCATTGACTCTGTCCCCATTGACTCTGCCCCCATTTGACTCTGTCCCCATTGACTATGACCCTGACAAGTCTGTCCCCATTGACTCTATTCCTGTTGACTCTGTCCCCATTGACTCTGTCCCCAGTGACTCTACCCCTGTTGACTTTGCCTCTCACAGCTCTGTCCCTGTTAACTCTGTCGCCATCGACTCCATTTCCGTCGAAGCTGTCCCCGTCGGCTCTGTCCCTGTTGGCTCTGTCCCGCGTCGACTCCGTCCCCATCGACTCCGTCCCCGTCGACTCCGTCCCCGTCGTACTGCCGCCCCGCCGATAACGGCTGTGTGTGGACGTTTTCAGTGGACGCCGTCAGTGTGGACAGTACGGTGGTGGAGACGTTCCACCTGCGGGACCGGCTGTACGACTCGGTCAGCGTGCGTCTGGTGGACCCGGCCGACGCCGCGCTCGAGTCGGTGGAGCTGCTCTTCAAGGACCACTACCTTAACCGCAGCGACATGTGGCGCCTCAAGAACAGCCTGGTCAGTGTGACGTGCGCAGGTCACCGCGCAGGCCACGTCTGGGCTGATGCAGCTCCGGTTCCGTGTGCGTGTTGCACTTGGTGCAATGGTACAATACGGCGGTGGGGTCGGCGGCTGCGCCCCAAAGGAAGCGCTCAGTAATTTAAGTAAATTGCGGAGTAAATTGATAAATTTACTTAATTGATTAAGTAAATCAAGTTCGCTGTGATCGGCATTGGACGTCAGCGGAGGTGGTGCAGGATCGCCATCAGTCGAAAACGTGCTGCCGTCGAATGGCAGCGGAATGGCAGCGAGCCAATTTGATTCGGAATGGGCTCCACACGCTGCTTGGAGATTCCAGCTGTCAGTAACAGGGCTTATTTAAGAGGAAAATCACGGCGGGCGCGATTGGCGAACGGAATCCATGGGTCGAGGCCACCGCTGGGTTGAAACTGCCGCTTCCCCGTTCGCTTTCTTCTTGATTTTGACGTACTGCATTCATTGTTGCGTTTCCAAAGCAAATTGTTCACTCTTGAAATCAATAGAGCATGTGGTATGTGAGCGTGTATCCATCCGTGTGGTAATTCATTGATTAATCTCCTAGCTTTTAGGCAGATGAATTAAGTACGTCTATGTGCTAGACTATATGCTCTTGCAAAAATTTGAATGACGATATTTATTAAAGACACGTTACGCCAGCCACGGTGCAGGGTGTGCCATGACCAAAAATTACGCAGATGATGCATAAAGAGGCAGCGTTGGCCGCAAGGGCGAAGATCAGCTGACGCAGAACAGCCGCGGGCAGTATGTACGGCGAACAAATAGGGGTTAAGACACATTCACTTCTGCATGTCTGGACAAGACTTCCCCCTTTGACATTTGAGTTTCTCTAAAAATGGATATCTTTGGCAATGTTTTATAATTTTATTAGTAAGTAATGTTGCAAAACAATCCCCCGGTGATTTCGCCCTAACTTAGGTTGCATTCGCGAGCCGCACTACACAGCATGCAATGAAGGCTACTAAGGCAGTGTAGGATGGAATGTTAATAAGAACACCACCACCAAATTGCCCCATAACAGCAAAAGCCAACACAGAACCGGGGCAGGGCTTCGACACGAGCGCCGCCACGAATCACGCCGCAGACCGGAAGTATCGAGAGCGTGTGACGCTGGAACCGAATAGCCACATGGGGATGTAACCACGGATGATGCACACGCACGCCGGTTGGCTGCCAGCACGCCTCCAGCGAGCAGGTGCCAAACTGGGCTGCCGCTGCCGACAGGTGGGCAAGGTGATGTACCACAAGAAGAACGTGGAGTTCTGCTCGCAGACGGTGCGCTGCCAGGTGTTCGAGATGTGGTCGCAGGGAGACCGCGTGGCGTGCGGTCTGGTCACGCCGGATACCAAGGTCAGTTGGCCGGGCCAGCCGCGGCCCCAGCTGGGTCCGGTGACCGGGTCATCGGCGCGCATACGGGACACGGGATACGTTTGGGGTGCGTACGGGACCGGACCCTGTACCCTGAATCGCCGCTGAGGTCTGTTTGAGGTCATTTGCGACTGGTGCTTTACGGACGGATTGGTGAGCATGAGGTGTTGTTGGCCGGCATGGGGCACCAACACGGAGGTCTGTCTTAACTGCACGGTGTGGAAGGTCGCTTCGGACAGTGCTGACGCTGAGCTTAGCGCCCCTCGTCCCGAGAAGTTAGGTGCGGTGATGGCGTCCCTCGTCCCTTGGAGTGAGGTGCGGTGATGGTGACCCTCGTCCCTGGGAGTGAGGTGCGGGGGTGGGTGCTGCCATCACAGGATCGGTGATGTTTCTTCTGTTGTGGAAGACGCCTTAGCGCCTTACCTCTGCCGCGGCCGTTCGTTATCGCCGTTCCAGCAAACGCGCCCGGCCACCGTGTCGGCCAGCCGTGTCACTCTATCGTGGCTGCGTTCTTTCTTCGGCAGGTGGTGTTCCGGTCAGCCACCAGCATGTTCCACCTCTACATCCAGATGTCAGAGGAAATGTGGGACTTTGACGTTTACGGAGACCTGTACTTCGAGAAGGCCGTTAACGGCTTCCTCAGTGACCTCTTCAACAATTGGAAGGTGCGGAACCTTGCGGAGACGCTTGCTACGTTATGCAGCGTTACGTTTGTTACGTTAAGCAGCCCTTGCTGCTTGGTGTCTGACAGTCACCGCGCCCGCGATGACCAACACGTGAAGTGGCCATCGCGCCTTCACAGACCCCGCGAGGCGCCAGCCGCAGGGCGAACGTCACTTGGGACAGTCAGCAACGGCAAACTGACATTCACGTTCTTACGAAGTCACGGCATGAACCATGAAGCGCAATCGCTCTCTTAAAATGGCACGGCAACAACCACGAGGTGAACATAGCGCTCTTACAGAGGCACGGGACCAACCACGAGGTGACCATGACGCTCTTACAGAGGCACGGGACCAACCACAAGGTGACCATCACGCTCTTACAGAGACATGGGACCAACCACGAGGTGACCATCACGCTGTTCTCCCGGCTCTTCTACAAGGCCAACTCGCTCAGCGAGTTTCCGGAGTACATGCGTCACGATGTACAGAAGGATTTCCGCAACATGTTCTACGAGGACTTCTACAGGTCGGTTAGATGCCCCGGACCGCACCATCCAGCTGCGTGTGGCGGGATCACGGGGCCGTTGTGTTCGGGAAGAGTATGGCGACCATGCGAGTTTAACGGACTTAACAGCAATGCCATCAGTGTTGAGCAGGATTGGAGGCGCCATGATGATTTCAATGTCACCCCGCTGATGCATACTGTTTAAACTTGTCCTGTTCATTTGTACTGCGTAGACATAGTTTACGGTGTCGGCCTACTATATCTCTAAGTTTTTTGCCTATGTACGTTACTGCGTATGTATGCATGTGGCGTTATATGTATAATATATTTATATATATACATACATATATATATACATATATATATATATATATATATATATATATATATATATATATATATATATATGGTTTTGTATATATAAGTGTGCTTTTCTGCTCATATATTTTTATTTATTTCTATATATGGCCTGGAACTAGAAGTGGCCGCACGGCCCCTACCTCACTGGGGCGGGGTACTGGGGGCGTAGTCATGGCCGAGTGGTTAACGTGTCGGACTCCCACTTAAGGGTCCGGGTTCGAATCTCGGTCGTGCCATGGCCCCTGAACGTTAATGTGGCCAATGGAGTCGCTGGCGCTCCATGCAAGAAGCGCGACGACGTGCGTCGCGGCCATTTAAAAAAGCGGGCAGCGCTGTGTTATGACCAAGCGCCCGCGCGGCCTCGATCTCTGTGTCGTGGCCAAGCGCCCGCGCGGCCTCGATCTCTGTGTCGTGACCAAGCGCCCGCGCGGCCTCGATCTCGCCAGGGTTGCCGTGCAAAACGAGCGGTACGAGGACTGGACGCCCGTGCTCTCCACCATCCGGCACCTGTTCATGGGCTACCGGGAGGGCCTGCTGAACTTCCAGCGGGAGCGGGCGCCCCCTGGCGCGCCGCCGCCGCCGCGCGCCTCGCTCAGCTCGGCCGCCCAGGGCAACTTCCTCGAGGTGCTCAACATCTCCATGAATGGTGCGTCCCCCCCCCCTCCGACCACGCGGTGGGTCCAAATGCTAGAAAGCGGTCACTTACTTCAGTGTGTTTTAGTGTGTTTCAGGGAATGGGATACACAGTTATTGCCGTTGTTTTTGTTGGGAATAACGTAAATGTTTGTGGTGGCCGGCCTAGGTCTGTATGCTGCCGATGTGATGCCTTTCCCGTCATTGTCATGCGTTTGCTCGCGTCCGCTCTGCCTCGAGGAACGATCGCGTCACTTTGAACGGCGTGATTCCTCTATGTTGTTCCGTGACGTGTGTGTTGCTGCTGTCTTTTTCGCTGTAAATACGACTTAAGGTTTTATACCCGCTGGTAGACACGGAAATACTTGATTCTGAGAGAAACATAGCATCTGCAGTCGGCATGTCTAAAACACCAACAGCCAATGAAGCCAACATTCATGCTGACACACTGATCTCAAACATAGAATGGCTCGTCCGCATTTATGTGTTCGCTTAGTTTGCCTTTACAGAGCTACTGGCTTGACCAGCGACTGTAAGCGCCAGAGTTTTAACGCCGCCTCCTTGACTAGCGACAATGTGCGGCAGTGTTTGAGAGCCACTGCTCGACTGGCGACTGTGTATGAGTGTTTGAGAGCCACCAGCTTAACTAGCGGCTGTGCGCGGCAGTGTTCGAGATGCACTACCTGCACCGGGCTCTGGAGCGCACCGGCCAGATGTGCGTGGTGGTGTCGCCCGGCGTTGGCGTGTACCAGGTGGAGCGGGAGCTCAACAATCTGACCAAGCAGCGCATCATCGACTACGGCGTCGGCATCGACCTGGTGTGCGTCGGCGAGCAGCCGCTGCACGCCGTGCCTCTGCTCAAGGTGCGTGCGCGCGCGACCGGCGCTCTTCGGCGCCGCCCACCTCCCTGTTGTGGACCGCCGCCGCCAGAGAGCGAGGAATAAGCCCGGCTGGGCGGGGCTCCACGCCATCCACGCGGGTGGGGGGTACTGGCGGCTGTGCCTAAGTTCTAAGTAAGGTTGGTGTCTCCCTCGGCTTCGTCCGCAGCGTCTTGTATTCGATATGTCTTGTTAAGAGTGTCGTTGGCCGCTCGTTCGTCGATCGCTGGCGTCGGTTGCGGTTTGGACCGTCCCGGGATCCTTGAATGAGTCATAACCGGTACATTCGCCAGCACCGTGCAGCTGATTTGGAGATCCTGTAGCGACCTGTAACCGGTGCATTCGCCAGCACCGTGCAGCTAATTTGGGGATCCTGTAGTGAGCTGTAACCGGTGCGCTCACCAATGCCGTGCAGTTGGCGTCACGTCTTCAGCTGTTCTGGCTGCTAAAACCTGACACCGAATCGTGAAAGCGCCCCAAGAACGGGCGGGTCCCTGGATCGCACGCCGGAGTGTGGGATCGCCTGCACAGATGAACCCACACTTCTGCCAGCACCAATGTCCTTGTCCTCCTTGGCCAATTTATCTCACGTTGCTGTGACGTCTGGTCGGCGGGATCTGTGCACAGTTCGTGTTTTGTGTTCTTTGGTTGCCTTACTGTGACTGAAAGTTATATTTTTCTTGCTAGTTGGGTGGCGGGGAGTTGTGGTGATATTGCAGTGCTGCTGAAGCCGACCTGATCAAGAAGTTTAATGCAAATATTGAACAATTGATACAGCGCGGTGTGTAAACAATCGCGCCTCTTGTGAACTATTGGATGAGCCTGCGATCGATGATTGCAAATATCCTACGCAAACAGTCCTGAATAAAGGTCTTAGAGAAATGCAAGAATCCGTTAACGAATTTTGCCAAGCCCATTTGCTTTTTTGGCCCAGGTTATGGTAAAGCGGTCGCTTGCTACTGTTTTGCCAACGTTTCACGCGGAGGTTAGAGCTATTTCTGCAGTGTGTGGCGTTTTTTTGGGAAGCTGACCAAATGATCCTGGCTGCGAACGCCGGTCACTGGCCGTTCACCGCCACACCCTGCTGCCTCAGTTCCACAACAAGAGCCTGACGGAGACGCAGGACTACTACCTGCCACACACCTGGATCAACCTCAGCTTCTACTCGTCCAACAAGCGGGTGGGCTACTCGGAGTTCGTGCCGCGCATCAAGGTGCCGCCGAGCGCGCCCAAGGCGCCCGTGGCGCGCGTGCAGTCGGTGCTGCCGCGCGGTCGCCCGCCGCCCAGCGAGCACGCCATCCCCAGCTCCGTGTACGACTACGACGCCCACGACGCCGACGTCTTCCGCATGCCCGCCAACGCCACCTATAAACAGTGAGTTGGTGAAGCGCGGCGGGAGTTGGGCAGCGAGATGAGATGTGTTATGTCATGAAGTCTGGATTGTGCCGTAAGCGGACAGAATATGGCTGTATAGAGATGAGGCGCTGGCTTCGCATAAAAATGACATCTGTCTGTGTCGATGGGTTGTGAAGCTCGAAGCCTGTCAAAGGCATTTGGCAGAGGCGCATTGTGCCTGTCATTAAAATACAAGGCCGTCTTGGATTTCACAAACCGTAGCGATCTGTTTCGCAGATCCCTGGCAAGTTTAGCCCGTACAAACTAAAGCAGCGCGGTTCTGCCGAATGCCAGGGATTTTCTTACAGGGGGGGGGGGGGGGGGGGAGGGGGACCGGAGCTCACGAGAACGTATTGCGCCGATCGCAAACGTTCTGTCATGCGCCATTTATGGCATAGAAATGCGAAATGCGGGTCTAGGGAATGAGTGTCCGGGCCCGCCTCCCTCCTTGGCTGCACATGCAGAGTTCGTCAGCCGGTGTCAGTCGGTGTCAGTTAGTCGGTGTCGGTGATGGCTGCCATGTTGAGCTGACAGCCAGCGGACGGTGCTGCCGATCCGTCGGCGCGCCGCTGAACCGCGTCCGACGCGTCCCCCCCACCAGGGCGACGATGACCCTGCAGCGCGTGCCGCCGCGCAAGCGCACCGTCACCACCTCGCACGTGAAGCCGCCGCGCCCGCCGACCGACTCGGCCGTCTCGTCGCCGATCGCCGAGCAGGTGTACAGCTCGTCAGCCACCGGGTTTGTCACACCAGGTGGGTTGGCGGCGCCCGCTGGCGGCGCCGCGCCGCGCTCGCCGCACGCCGGGCCCGCTGCCGCGCCGGCTCCAAACGGAGCCGGCGCGGCGTGACGTCACTGCGGCGCGGCGCGCGCGAAGGACGGGCGGTGCGGGCGCTGTGTGTTGTGAAACTGCTGTCGGCGGCATGCGCTGGGCTGTTGCTTGGCAACAAATGCGATGCTCAAACGTTTGATGCACTCGCAAGCTGAGACTGAAGCAACCACTTACAAATGTAGCTGCCTACGAGTGCCGTCACGTCAGGGTAGTGAACACGTCCCGTGGCGACGCCGCTAAAGGTGTAGTGATCTGTGGAGCAGGGTCTGCCCAGCGGTGCAGCCGAGCTACGACACTTTACGGAAGTAATTTGTAGTAACTGCATCTTTACCCTTGAGCGTGTGTAGGCGACGCGTGATAAAAGTAGGTACCATTGACGTAAATAAAGTAGCGATCCTTGTTGTTCATGGGTTCTGTGTTACGGAACTATTGCGTTTTTCGGAAAACACGGAACTTAAATGTAAATAGAAAATAAACCTCTACCACCATTCCAAGTGGTATACAAGGTTATGGCGCTCAGGCGCTGACCGCGACCCAATCTTGACCCTGTCGCCGTGCGCAAGCGCAGCTGATCTGCCTGCCGCCGGCGCCCGCCAGCCCGGCTGCTGCTCTGTGGCATCCGCTGCCCGGGGGTGCATTCGTGCCGCCCGCCGCCGCAGACTGACCGGCCGGCTGGGCCGGCGCGTGTGACTGACTAACCGACTGGGAGGCCGCACGTCAGCCGACCCTGCTGCCTCTGACGGGTTGAGGGCTCGCGCGTCGCGTGTGATGGCTAACGGACTCAAACATGGCATGTTGTAGGCTAGCGACCGTTAGAGGGAGTGTGTCACCTGTTTTGTCATGTTCACTGGAGGGTAGATGACAAGACTCGTCCTCGTCCGGGTTGGTCGGTGACACTAGGTTTCACGAAGTCGCCCAGGGTAGCTCAGAATTTGTAATCGAGTTGGCCGCCCCACACAAGGAATGCCGTTATACTGTGTGACCATCACTTTGAAAGTAATACTTCTGGTTTGATTCGCTTTTCCAACATGTTTTCTATGAAATATTCGTAATACGCAATTGAAGATGCACAAAGACTTGAACTCTCTACAGGGTAAAGACACACAAGTATGGGGTCATAATCATGTCAACTCATCGAAACGTCATACCATGGCTTTGAATCCTCTCTCACATGGCACGGCGAGTCTTTTCAAATGGTTTTTCGACTTTAGGAAACATTGTTTACATGGATGCTCAGTTCGTTGCAAGACCGTGTTAACAACCAGGTTGCCAACCAGCTAACCAGAAACATATCACCTGGACTAGTGATTTACTTGTTCAAAGTTCCACGAATGTACTTCTTGCTAAATGGCTTGTGCCACCCGCTGTACCAATCATGAACATTCTTTTCTTCTGACGTCATTCGTATCTGTCAATGGCGGAACACATTTTGACCACCACACTTTGGGTGTAGCAAGGGTCTGACTGTTGGTGTTGCGGGTTAGCTTTCTCCCTGTTTCGTGCTCATTTTCACGGAAATTTAAACGGCTGAATATCCCGCTAGAACGGATTGTGTGCGCTTAGGTTGCTTACTCCAAAAGCGAAACCTGGGGCTATAGGTACACATTTTGTCGTACTGTGTCGAGCTGGAACCGCGTAATTTTCAATAGAAAATGAAATGAAGTGAAATGGATTTGCTTCAAGTATATTATGATGCAGTACTATGGTAAGACATAACTGGCCCCCAGATATCACCAGAGTATGGTTTTGATTCGCGTCCCAAAGGTGGCACACTCCCTTTAGGGCTGGTACTTGGCGGTGGCAAGCTAACCGACCCCGCCGCCGCATGCGATCGGCCCGGCACGGCTGGTGATTGGCTGAGCGGGCGCGCGCCGGCAGTGACGCGGCGCCGCCATTGGTCTGTTTTAGCGCGCGCCTCGCCGCTCGTGCAGAGCCCAGTGTCGCCGCCTGGTGAGCTATACTCGTCGTCGTTCGGGTCCGTGTTCGGCAGTGACCGGTCCGGTGAGTGATAGACGCGGCATGGCCTGCGCTGACCTGGCTGTGGTGGCAACCATCCATGCGCCCTATAACGGGCTGATGGGCTGCTCACACGGCTGGGAAACCGTTAACCAGGATGTCAAATGGCGCTTGCGCTGTGGTTGGATTGAAGCTGGACTGCGGCATGGGGGTCCCCCTCCCCCGGTCTGGTGTGTGGTGACCGTTGCTCGGGAGCAGTGGTACTAGGAAATAGCAACTGGAGTGGGTGAAGCCGTGAAGGTGATCTACGTCCTTGCGTGTGCCGAACTAATGCTGATTAATAACGTGGATAGGTGCAACATGTGGCCCTGTCGTCGACAGACGCCGACTGACACATCCCCACGTCTTGCATTTTTGCGTTCCAATATTTTTCAGTGTGACATATCCCTGAATATTTCATTCTGCACGTCCCTGCCCTGAATGCTGTCTTGGAACAAGACATCAATCAAGAACAAATTTGTATGGCGTTGCTGTGTACTTCTAGCACATAAGGGCTTTCTTCACTCACGTCCCCAGGCTGTCGTGTGCCTCTGCCCACTTAATATAGCCGATGTGCATCTCGCCAGACCATACCAGACCACCATATGTGCGCCTCGCCAAACCATACCAGACCATCCAGACCATACCAGTCCATACCAGTCCATACCCAGTCATTGTGAAACCAGTCCACTAAACAACACCAAAGCATGGTGTGTCCCTGATCCGTGCTGCGCTGTGCGCTCCGCCGCCTCCTCCCACGTGGCCTTCGTGGCGCCGGGGCGCGTGACAAGTATGGGTCGACCTCTGCCTCAACTCCGATGTGGAGTCAATCCATCACCAGCTGACCGAGAGACCACGCCCGGGGCCGCCGGACCTGGCGGCGCGCTAACGGGCGCGGCGCGGCGCGGCGCCTCCCGCAGACGGCGGCACGCTGCGGCGCGTCTCGTTCGACGACAGCGACGTGACCCGCTCGCCGCCGCGGCCGGCCGCCTCGGCCGTGTCGGCCTGTGACCTGAGCCTCAGCCGCGTGGCCGTGCCGCACGGGCCCGGCCGCGCCCTCTTCAACCCGTTCGACCCCAGCAACATCGTGGTCAAGCACACCTCCAGCCGGCGCCGCTGGACGCATATCTTCCCCAAAGGTGGGCGGGCGCCGCCGCCGGCGACGCGCGGGTCGGGCCGCGCGGCAGGGAGGCGAGCGGGCCGGCGGTGTATGGCGGCGGCGCCTCCCCCGCGGCCGTGGCGAGCGCTCGTATGACAGGGCGTGCGTGCCGTGGAATAGACGCCTGTTTCGTGGTCTGTTACACGAATGCGCTCCGCCGGGGCAGTTGTGTGTGTGGAGATTGGGCGGGGCCGATTCGCTCCGAACGCGTCGACATGGCACGGCTGCGACGTGATCCGTAGTGACGCAGGCAGCTGCGAAGAGAAGTAACCCAGCCGCGCGCAGGCAACAACGCTCCACCGCCGGCTTTGTGGCTGTTGCGAGTCTCTGAGCCTCGAGCCGCTCGCCCGATTTTCATAAAGCCATCACCACTCAACGCGCAGCGTATGAATTTAGGAGTCGTGAGTAGTCTAGTGGTCCCGGGTCACTAAAGTGATCATGCCTTTGGTGTGCTTCCGTCGGTGACTGCGGCATTCTCCGTCTTCAACTTTGTCATTATTTCGAAAGCCGAAAATGGCACAGGCGTTACGCCATCCCGCTGTTTATTGCTGAGGCTAGCGGTGCGAGATCAAACAAAATTCAATAGCATCGCGATGTGTTTGTACGTCTCTAGGCATCATAAATGATTTCAATATTTTTGTTCTTCTCTAAGGAGGTTAATCGCTCCAGTGTCTGAGCGGCGTTCAGATGAGAGTAGCCGCTGTGGATGACCTGCTGTGGGAGCAGTGCCCCGCCATCCAGGTGGGATGAACTATAGACTGGTAGGGCCCGGGCTGGGAGCCAAGCAGCACCCGGGATTGCCGAGGCCGCACACGCGACAGTCACGCGGCCGCGCTGTAAATGTTCCCCAGAACGTCGGGAGAGATACGATGCCCCGGGTGGGGCAAGCCGCCGCGGTGGTGTGTCTCGAGCGCTGCGTGTCTGGCGCGCGGGAGGTGAGGCTCGTGCCCTCATCGCCTCACCATCGGACCGGCCGTTGGCGACGAGCCTCCCTGGGCGCGCCAGCCGAGCGTCAGCAGTGGTAGCCGGAGCGCCAGCTGCGCAGGCGTGCGCACGGTTCGGCGGCGGGTCATGTCTCGTGCTGTTCCAGGTCCGAAGGGAGTGCTGTTCCAGCAGCACCACTACGCCAACGCCATGGGTCTGGACCTCAGCGCCAAAGGTAGGCCGTCCTAGGCCGCCACTGGGCGCGCGCTGCCGGTGTCCTCCAGGGATGTGGTGATGTCATGACGGTATGCTCATTCCCACTGGTAACGATTGGTAGGACTTAGACGTTATCATGCAGTGATATGGAGTACGTCAAGTTCCGATTTCGATTCCTAGCCCGGCTAAGTACTGTTTGCCGCGTGGGCACTTTTCCCGTATTTTCCGCATCCCCATGTGCCTGGCATCCAGCCGTCCGACCCAGCAGCGGACTCGGGCTGCACGGGGCACCCGGATCTGAACCCACGCTGTGTGAGTGATTTAGTGATAGTGTGATTCACCGAGATGATCTCTTGACCGATGTGTGATGTCTTAGGCTATTTTACTAGTTTTCACATTGTCTCTTTTATGCCCGTTTATATCAATGACGACGTGTAACTTTGAAAAAGCCACTGGATCTTGTGGAAAGTTACGAAATATATGAACATGAACATGAACAGTGGCGGCCGGACCGCGGCACACCTGCGGCGCCAGCGCCCCCCCCCCCCCCCCCCAGACTCACGGACGGAGGGGAGGACGGCCGCTGACCGGCCGGCGCGCTGACGCTCCGCCTGTCCCGCAGATGCGCCGCCCTCGTCCAGCGAGCCGACGGCCGGCAGTCCGTCACTGGCCTTCTTGTGGGGTGCCTCCAGCACCGGCGAGCAGGAGTGGTCGGCGCATATCACCACAGGTCAGTCCCGGCCGCCGCCGGAAAGCAGCGTCTGTGCATACGCGCGCGCGTGCGCGCCGCCGGCGGCTCGCTCTCGCCTGTGTCCGGGGGGGGGGGGGGGGGCGCGGCGCGGCGCCCCGGTGGGATGACTTCACCCGTTCACCCGCTCTGTCCCCCCACGGAAGAAAAACGACCGTCGCACCTGGCATCTGGAAACCCATCCCAAACGCAACTCGCTACGATGCAAACATTGAGGAATTCGGTCACGGAAATATCACCACGGGAAGCGCTGTTCAAGGGGTAATGAGCAGCTTTCGGCTCCACGTCAAAAGAAACATATTTGTGAGTCAGTCGATGTACAGTCCTAGGTGACTCGATTTGACCAATGGGAGCCAGCAGCCGTTTCTCTTCTGCTGGGGCGGCAGCGCTGGCGGCCGGGAGTGCAGAGGCGTCCCCGGCGTGCCTGGCCTGGTTCGCTCGGCACTGCCAGCGACGGCCGAGCTGGAGCCGGAACAGTCTCGGCCGGCGTCGGTCGGTGCTGGGGATGAGCCCCAAGGCGCTTACCTGGTGCTTAAAGAGACTGGGAGTGGTAATGAGGCTGAGATGTCCTGTTTGCTGCCGTCGGCTCGTGAAAATACAGTTGCATTTGGGCGGGAGTAGCTTCATTTCACAACGTAGAGTCCGATATTATTTTGATGTTGAGTTTCTCATTGCCACGCGCATCAAGACCGTGGGTGTCAGTCGTGGAATGTTGAGTGCTGCAGTGCCTTTATTACGCGTGAACGCGTATGATAGTGTCAATTCAACGTGCGTCGTGCTTTCATTTTCCCGAATCACTGCCAGCGTTGTTGGTGTCCTGAGCGCGCAGCGTGTCTGATGCTCCGATCTAACAGGGTTCTGTCTTTTTAGCGTACATCGTCGGAGTTTTAGTAGGTAAAGAAAACTCCCGAGGCGACTGTATTTGTTGCATCTCGCGTTAGCCAGTTGTGCTTGCTTGGCCCGCTTGATAGTGCCCCTGCCTTGGCACTGTGGCGTCGTTAGTGCTCGGTGCTCACGCGTACTAAGCGCGCCCCGAGGGCATGCCGTGTGACGTCACGCCCGGCGCGCGGCTGCGGTCGCTGCACGCTGGCTTATGGCGGTCAGCGGCGTGCTCGCCGTAGCAAACGCTGACGGCCAGCTACCTGTGACGTCACAGGTAGGTGCGGCTCACGCATGATTAATAACTTCGTACCCCCGTCCCCTGTGAGGACGGGGGGGGGGGACAGGTGGATCAGGACCTTTCCGTGGTGGTGGTGGGGGGGGGGGGGGGGGGGTTGTATGCTCCGATGACCCTGTGAGCGGCTGGGGAAGCGTTTAAAGCGTCCACTCCGACCAAAGGGAGGAGCCAGACTAAACGTGCCTCCCGCAAGGGCCCTGACCACGATCAGGGCAGGGCTCAGCAGCCCCTCGGCCCCAGCTTTGAGTAATGCCGTGCCGTGTCCCGTTGTGTCCTACGGGAGTGGTGAAGGGGTCCTGGGTGTCAGCCGGCCGCCGTGCGGGTCGGCCTGGGCGTTCACCAACATTCACCGTTGGCCTCAGTTTTCGACCTGTGGGTGCCCCGTGCTGGCTAGCTGTGGGAGTGTGCCCGGGCGCACACGGAGAAGGTGTATGAACAGCTGTTAGTGAGTCAGGGCACGGGCTGCCGCGGACTCCTGCCCGACGGCTCCGCGGCGCACCTCTGGCGCTCCCACCAGCGCATTGCGCGTCCGCAGCCCCGCCGGCACAGTAGTCGCCCGCCGTCCCGTCCCCTTGTTGATCTCGGTTGTGGGTTGGGGAACGTCGTGCTCGAAAACAGATCAGCTTCTACCTAGCCACGGCTGACTCACAATCAAATCACACCACTACTACGCTGCTACCCAGCGAAGGGCAGGTTGAAACGGCCCCGCCCGCTGAACTTAGAGGTGCACCTGACTCCTCTGGAAGGTGTCCGCCACCCGGACAACTATCCCACGTGAGATTACAAAAGATGAGGAAATCAGGAGGATGCTGAGCGTTAAAGTACACAGCGTTTGAGTTGGCGGAGCTGGTATGCGGTCCGTGCCCATACAGGTTAAACCGTGCCCACTTCAAAATTCTGTGCAGGAAGTCATTAGCTGCCGGGACCTGCGGTGGGATGGGCGGGGGGGGGGAGAATCAGCGTGAATGAAATCTTTGAAGGAGTGACGAACGCCAAACACACCATGAGAAGGGTAGGTGACGAGTTGTTGCCCACGGGCTCCATTTCCCTGGCTTTCAACGGTTCTTCGCTGCCAGAGAGGGTAGCAACCGGCTTAACTTCCTTTCCGTCAGTTTCTTCGCTCCCGATCCTGTACGGCGCTCTAAAGCCATTCGTTTAGGTGCTTACCGCTCGTGGCTGACGTCTGCGGCACACCCCGTGGGGACGAGCCGGTGTGGTGATGCGCGATTGGGTGATGAGTGAGGGAAATATGTCGGATGTAAGAACAAACGAACGGCAGAAAGATAGCCGGAATATGCATCAGGCGGATGCACGCCGATATTTCCGTGTCAAACTCTGAAACGACTTTGGGTTTCGCGCAATTCCTGAAAGCAGAGCATCATGGTGCCAGAATTATCGTTCGTTTTTAGGCAACCAGCCTCATTTATACCGAGGGCAGGCCCTGTGTGCCCCAGCGCCCACACTGCTGGGCAGACTATCCAGCTGTCCAGCTGCTGAGCCGTGCGTCGAGCCTCGTCACCTGAGAACGACACGGGACCGGATGGCGTCAATGGCGCCGGCGCCCCCCCCCCCCCCCCGCTCCCCACAAGCGCACTGCGCCGCCGCCACGTCCGCCACAGCAACACCTAGCCTCAGCCGCCTCTGGCGGCGCCGCGCGCCTGCGGGACACGTGTGGGCATCGGGCACGGGCCTCATCTCTGTGCGGCCAGACCCTGGGGCGCACTAACAGCTATGGATGTGTAGCCGTGCTGTGTGCGGGGTGCGTCTGTGTCGTCGTGAGGCCGCTGGTATGCCCCCGTCCCCGTCCCGACCCTCGCCTTCGCTCTGCTTTAGGAGTTCGTGTGCTGCCCCGCGCGCGCCGCCCGAAGACGCCCGGGGCGTGGTGCGGCCAGTGTGCGGTTTGGTGGGAGCGGCCGGAATGAGCAGCGGACATGAAACACATCACCAGAAAACCGAGCACTCGATGATTCAAAGTATGCGTGCCGTTTGAAAATTTGTCGATGATAGATTTGTGACGTGATTTTTGATTAGTTCTAACGTGTATGGTTATCCATTGTCTGTTGAAGATACCTGGTAGTTTTGTCTTCATGTTTAATGTGTTAAGGAGCTGAGGTCCCAAGCAACATCATCTATTTAAAAGCAGTGTGACCCAGTAACAAACATATGGAGATGAGTTCACCATAACTGTCGCCGATCTCCGCGCCAGAAGCCTCAAATTGAGGTCCCTAACGCCGATGCATTCGGCCTTAACGACCTGCATGTACAGAACCCACCATTCTCTCCTACGCCAAGAACCACAAATTTGTTCCAGAAATGCCCCTCGGCAACGGTTAAACGTTACAAAGCAGGAATCCTGACCAGGCGATACAAGTACACTCCACGGTAGTTGCAAAGTGTGTATTTTTCTCGAATGTTATCCTCGGAGGCGTACATTTTACCGATTATATCTGCATGCGGGCTCCACGGCACATGCATTTCTCAGAGATATTAGCACACTCTACCAGAGGAAGGTGACTGTTCGCGCCGCTCCAGTCACGTGTGACTGAAAAGTGTGACCAGGCGGCGAATAGGCCGCAAAACACCAAGGGGTTACCACTGGCTTAAACGCCGTCAGATTTGAGATGCCCTGGCTACAGGCTACACTCGTCAAACTGCGATGAAGCAGAGGAAAATGTGTTTGTTTCACAGAACGTGGGTTTGTAAACTCTTGTGGTGTGTCACGCACTTTAATGATGCAAAAAGGGAAGACAGGCCTCTTTATCCATACACGATAATTCAGAAGTTCCTTGGGGAAAAAGCTTTTCATACAAGGAGCGTATGATAGACCGGTAGCAAGAGGAACCACTATGCATAGACAGGCCGCGATGTCAGCTGTTAAATGACGCGAAGCCTGCCAATTGGAAGTGCAGCACCATTGCAGCGGCAAGAGGTAGTAAATGGAGCACATTCGAAATGGGCACAAAAACGTGACGTGAGTAAAAGCGTCCCACAGTTTTTTCCCCAATTGATATGCATATGTCGAATTACGGAGTGCTGATGGCGAGTTTCGTGTTGGTTGTGTGGCCCGGCCGTTCCCAACCACCGTCGGTGGCGCTGGGGGGTCTGTGCCGTCTTCGGACCGCTCGGTCCCGGTCGCCCCCCCCCCCCCCCCCCCCGGCTGACCTGCGGCTAAACTGTGGCTAACGGTACCCTCCACGTGTGCCCTGTAGGGTTTGATTACTGCGCTTGTGTTTTGGAAACGATTGCGCATTAGCACTTTCTGTTTTATGTTGTGTGTGACGTGCGTGATATACCACGCGCCATGCTTTTATCCCATTTTCGTTGTCTTGTGGTGGCTCGATTTTGGGGCATTTGCTCGCACGCGGTTTTCCAGTTTTACCATGTGTGGACCGATGCATACCAGTGCCCTTAGATGTTAGCCTCGTTGATAGCCTCGAATGAGGCCGGGGTTAAATACAGTGTATTGCCAGAAGCAGTCGTCACTAATTGCGAATGCTTAATGTGATCCTGCGTGCTTATGTCACAGGGCCTAACGGGAATGTGTCGTATACCGCTTGGGTTGTGTTTCGTGCGGCCCGTCTCTACAGCGGGCATATCATGCTGGCTGCTTGGAACACCACGTTGCCCAAATGTTCTTCTGTTGGGTTTGGAGCATCTAAGCCAGTAACGATGTGACGTACTTTAGCGAAGCCTCGCATCAATTGCGACCCCTAAACAATATAAAATGCGCACAATTTACAATGGACTCGTCAAGAAATTGCTGGCTGTTGGCTGGGCTAGGGGCTGCCAGCGATTCCCCTGTTCGGCGCCCCGCGTTCTGCGAAACCATCGAACTCTAGCGGGCCTTTATATGCCTTTCGTTTACTGTTTGCTGTACTGGGCAAATTAGAAGGGTGCACATATTAAAAGGCAGCGAGCTATTCCTTCACAGAGCCTGCGATGGAAAAGTTGCGTTTTCGTCGTCAAAACCCCGCCCGGAAAATGGCAATCACTCAGTGACGAGTTGGTCGGTAACTGAGGGACGGCATTCCGGTTGAGCAAAGCTGGATTGTCACCGTGGGGGACGCCTCGGCCGTTCCTCCCGCTATGGTCCAGCTTCCGTTAGCCAACACCCGCCGCCCCGGCACGTCCCGCTGGGGTGGCGGCGCGCGGGAAGGGTCCCGTCGCCGCCTCCGGCCGCCGCCCTGACTCAGACGCCGCCGTGCGCGCGCGGACAGGCGTCGACTGGAAGTCGCTGACGACGCCGGCCTGCCTGCCCATCACCACCGACTACTTCCCGGACGAGCGCAGCCTGCAGAAGGACTACCTGCTCACCGAGTACAGCATCCTGCCGGACGACATCAACAGCCCGGAGGACGCCGGCGCCGCGCACCGCCAGCTCAGCACGCGCGAGGTCTTCACCGAGATGGTGTCGCAGCGGCTGTGCCAGGTCAGTGAGCGGGGTGTACGCGAGAGGTCTTCACAGAGATGGTGTCGCAGCGGCTGTGTCAGGTCAGTGGGGCGGGGTGCACGCGAGAGGTCTTCACAGAGATGGTGCCACAGCGGCTGTGTGTCGCAGGTCAGTCCGGCGCGGTGCACGTGGGAGGCCTTTACAGACATGTGCTGTGTTCGCGAGACTAGATTTCGACAAGGCGAACGCATTGAAGGTAATATGTGCTGATGGCGTGAAGGAATCACGGAAAAATGGTGAAACTCCATGCGATGTCGGGAGTGCTTATGCGCCTCCTGATATCAATGTTATTTTATATTTTTTATTGACGATTGAACGAAAACGAGCTGTTTGTATGGCCTTCTGTCCATGCGAACAGCTTGTTCGTAAAACGACAGCTTGGCGTAAAAGGTTACGTCGGACTCCTCCAGTAAACACGAGGCATGATAATACAGAGGTACGCGTGGAATGATAACCAAAAAACCGGACGGGGTGGGAAAACTGTGAGACCACTGCGCCGTCTCGCGTTGTCGCCTCAGCCGTCCATCACCGGAAGGGCGATCATTACAACGGCCGCGGCGGCAGCGGCGCGTCGCTTTACACGCAGCTGGCGGATGGCGAGGCGTCGCTGGTGCGGCCGGGCGGCGCGGGCCGGCGGCGGCGCGTGGTCGGCTGTACCGCTAGCGACGCGGCCGCGGAGCGCCGCCCGGCCGGCGGTGGGTGGCACTCGTGCTTCGGCAGCGGCTACACGCGGACGACGCGACGAGCGTGCTCCGTCACAGCCGGTCCGGTCGGCCGTCACCCGCTGTCGCTCCGACCGGGGGCGGCGCCGACGAGCGGCGCGGGATCACGCCAGCAGTGCGGAGCGTGTCTGCTCCCCTCTGCCGCGCCACGATGCTCGGGAGCGTGTAGCTGCTCGGCCGTGCCAAGCTATGCTGCTGGCGCTCGGCCTGCTGGGCGGCGTGTGCGCTGTGCTGGCGCCAGCGGATGGGCGGCCGCTGCCTGCCGCTTACCCCCCGCGGACCGGCTCAGTCCCGCTTGCGCCGGTCTCGCCCGGGCAGCGTCGCCAACACAGCTCGGTCCAGCTCGTCGGCGGCGGGACGGCGGTGGGTGGGCCGCGATGGCGGCCGGGCGGGGTGACGCCTCCGCCGCCGGCCACCACGCCTCGGCGGCACAACATCACCTTCGACACGTCCGACTCGTACTTCACCGACTGGATGTCGGTCCTGCAGCGGCCGGTGGCGCCTCTGCCGCCGCCTCCGCGGGCGCCGGCGCGGCCCGCCTCCGAGCCGCTGTCGGCAGGGCCGTCGGCGCCGCCGCCGCCGCCGCGGGTCGTCATCGGCCAGGACGGCCAGGTGACGGTGCTGGGCGCCGGCGGCAGCGGGTTCGTGGTGGCCGGCCCGCTGGGTGTGCACGTGAAGGTGCCGCGGCCGGCTGGCGCTCTGGACGTGCATACGGCGGCAGCGCCGGCGTCGGCCGACGGCGGCCCGCTGGTCTCCACGGGACCGGCGTTCGTCGAGGTGCTCGTACCGGGCGCCGGCGGACAGCGCGCGCCGCCGGCGCCGCCGTCCGGCCCCTCCGGCCCGTCCGGCCCGGCTCCGTCGAAGCCGGCCGGCGAGAGCGGCGGCGCGGCTCCCGGCGCGGCGGTAGCGCCGCATACCACGCCCATCCCGGACGTGGAGGACGGCGAGCCGTCCGGCGCCGCCGAGGAGGAGGACCCGGCCGACGCCGACGCCGACGCCGACGCCTCCCTGTGCGCGGCCGGCTCCGGCCAGGAGACGACGGTGACGGTGACGCGCCGCAACCTGACGGTGGTGCACCGGCTGCCGGGCCTGGCGCCGGCGGCGCTGGCGCAGATGACGGCCATCATCTCGGCGCTGGGCGCCGGGCTGAGCATCGACGAGCCGCCGCCGCCGCTGCTGCTGGGCTGCGCGCAGGCGGCCGACACGCCGCCGCCAGCGGCCGCGGCCAGACCGGGCACGGCCGGTGTGTCTGCCTCGGCAACGCCGTCTGCGTCAGCATCAGCCGCTGTCGCGACCACTGCTGCTCCCACAGCGACGACGGCGCGGAGACCCTTCACCTCCACAGCGGAGTCGACTGTTAGAGCTCCGACAACCACGTCACGTGCGCCAACCACAGTGGCTATGGCTCCTGCGCTGACCACGACCACGACACGTGCACCGACCACGACAACCACGACACGTCCACCAACCACAACCACGACACGTGCACCGACCACAACCACGACACGTGCACCGACCACAACCACGACACGTCCACCAACCACAACCACGACACGTCCACCAACCACAACCACGACACGTCCACCAACCACAACCACGGCACGTGCACCAACCACAACCACAACACGTGCACCAACCACAACCACGACACGTGCACCAACCACAGCAACCACGACACGTGCACCAACCACAACCACGACACGTGCACCAGCCACAACCACGACACGTGCACCGACCACAACCACGACACGTGCGCCAACCACAACCACGACACGTGCACCGACCACAACCACGACACGTCCACCAACCACAACCACGACACGTCCACCAACCACGACCGCAACACGTCCATCAACCACAACCACAACACGTCCGCCAACCACAACCACAACACGTGCACCAACCACAACAACCACAACCCGTCCACCAACCGCCACCACGACACGTCTACCAACCACAACCACAACACGTCCACCAACCACAACCACATCACGTCCGCCAACCACAACCACAACACGTCCACCAACCACAACAACCACGACACGTCCACCAACCACCACTACTACACGTCCACCAACTACAACCACAACACGTCCACCAACCACAACCACAACACGTCCACCAACCACAACCATAACACGTCCGCCAACCACAACACGTGCACCAACCACAACAACCACGAGACGTCCACCAACCACCACCACTACACGTCCACCAACCACAACCACAACACGTCCACCAACCACAACACGCTCACCAACTACAACAACCACGACACGTCCACCAACCACCACAACCTCGAAGCCATCGACAACTACGGCGCAGGCGCTTACAACAACACCGCCAACGATCCCAGTCTGGGAAATTACAGCATGGACAACCGCCTCGACACCGACAGCCGTAGTGAGTGCAGCTACAACGTCCACAACGCCGACAAGGCGTTCAACCACCGCAAACAGAGTCACAACCCCGAAAACGACAGCCGCCCCAACGTCGACCACAGCTCGCCCAGCTGCGGCCGCCTCCAGCGGCTGGACGCCGACGCAGATGCCGCCCTGGTGGATGACGACCCGGCGGCCCTCGCCGAGCACGGCCGTGGACTGGGCGACGCTGTTCGAGCAGCCGTTCATCCTGGGCGGCAGTCAGCTGTGGGAGGTGGTGGAGCAGCAGCCGCCGGACCGAGTCAGTCAGGTGCAGGGCGGCCAGCTGGGCCTCTTCCCGGCGCAGCTGCAGCGGCCGGCGCCGGCGGCCGGCCCTGCGGCGGTCGCCAGGGGTGGCCTAGGGCCCGGCTCGGCAGACCTCCCCGACGGCGGCCGCCAGGGCTGACCTGGGGCCTGGCCCAGCCGACCTCCCCGGCGGCGGTCGCCAGAGCTGACCTGGGGCCCGACGCTGCCAGCCGGCCCGGCGGCGGCCGCCAGGGCTGACCTGGGGTCTAGCCTGGCCGACTTCTCCAGCGGCGGGCGGCGACCGTGACTGAGGGACGAGCAGTGACGGGACGAGACAAGCGGCTCCGCTGCGTCACCCAGTATTGCGAGTGCTGCCGTGGATGTTGTTAATAGCTAGACTTTGTGTCGCTTCCTTGCACAATAAAATGCCAGGGTAAGAATGGTCTCATTTGCATCAGCCACCGTTGTTTTTTCGTCGTCGCGTAATGTTTCCAGACATGCTTTTGCGCGATGAGTGTTCGGTATGCAGTTGTCTGATAAGGCCTTGGAAAAGCGCTGCGTGAAATTCTCAGCTGACCCACAGACACGTCACGTAAGTATTTTAGATGCTGATCCACCACAAGCCAACTTCAGCCGAATACCTGGGTGCACGTCGTTAAAAGCTCGCCTTTTTCCTTTAATTTTTCCATTAACGGATAATCTGATGTGATGTAATTTTTTCCATAAACGGATGAACTGATGTGAATCCGGTCAAACGGTGCGTCGTATGAAAAGTTAATTGACGTGCATTTCTTGTGGTCATCGCACACCCTTTGAGAGGGACCAAAACAACATTTGCAAAGCCAGTTTGTTGTGTGTAGATGCGGTTTGGGCAGGGCTTTCGACCGACCGTTTTCGATAACTGATCAGGTCAGCGCCCACAAAAACATCATATTTTGCGTAGTTGTTGGTCAGTGAACTTTGCCGCACGTCTTGGCCGCTGTCGTGGGCCGGTGCATCTCGCGTTAGGCCTCCGGATGTCTTGGTGGTCTGGTGTCGAATGACGCGACATTAGCCACTTCCCGGTCGATTGCGGGCGCATCTTGGGTCGGACAGCGCCAAAACCGCCATTTGATTGAATGGTACATCTTCCTACACCCGCCCTTAGTTTTACTTTGACTGCGTTTTGATTGTCGAGGTCCGATGTCATGGGATGTCGATCGTTAAAAATTGGTTGCTTTTTCGTGGTTTACGGTTGAGAGCTCGTGACTGGCTTCACTCATTGACCCGCAGTTTGATGGTACGGTCGTCCGCCCATGCCTCCGTCAAATTGTTTGTGTCGCACGGGTACGACGCTGGTCACCCAAATGTGGGTCCGGTTTAGACCCGTGTTGTTTGTTAAAGGTACGACATTGGGCACCCAAATGTGGGTCAGGTTTAAACCCGTATTTTTTCGTGCGGGTACGACTCTGGTCACCCAAATGTGGGACGGATTTAGACCCGTCCTGTTTCGCACGGGTACGGCACTGGTCACCCAAATGAGGGTCAGGTTTAGGCCAGCGCTGTGTGGTTGTTACGAAGAAAATGTTTCGATTCACGGACAGATCCACAGCGGAGGCCGCATTTTGTGCACGTTGGAATGCGGCAAAATAATCGAGCCAACATAATCGAAGAGCATGACTGCATATGCTCTCGAAATTATGCAACACAATTTGTAAATAATCGCCTCTCGTTTTCGTGGTAATTGCATAAAGTTGCGACTAGTGTTAACAAATTCAGAAAATATGTTGCAGAGTGTGGCAATTAGGCTGGCACGGGCTGCTCAAATGAAAAACACCGATTTATTGATGACACTAGCTCAGCCTACACTTTCAAAACTGTATTCTTTTCCGTTGAGGACCTTGAACCACCTGCCTAAGTCCTGCACGTGGTAAATTTATGCGTTGGATGTAGCTGGGAGTTATGCTGCTCCGCGACCCCGGAGCGCTCATGTGGCCATCGTAGTCGCTGACGCTCCATAAACACGGCTTGCTCGTTAACGCACGTGGCCTACCTGACAAGCAATGGCATCATCTGGGCGGATGCGCCGCCGTTCTCGCGCTGCCGCTGCCGCCAGCGGGCTGGCGATCCACGGTGACCGTCGCCGCTGTTGCAGGGATTCCAGCTGATCGTGTCGTCGGCGAAGCCGAGCCCGGCCAGCGGGGCCGCCGTCGGCCGGGCCGTCTTCCCGCAGCGGGTGCCCGAGGAGCGCGAGGAGTACCTGCTGAGCATCGGCCGCATCTTCCACCGGGTGCTGCTCAGCGGCTCGGCCATCAACGTCACACACTACCGGCCCAGGTGAGCCGGCGCCATCAACGTCACTCATTACCGGCCCAGGTGAGCCAGCGCCATCAACGTCACACATTACCGGCCCAGGTGAGCCGGCGCCATCAACGTCACTCATTACCGGCCCAGGTGAGCCGGCGCCATCAACGTCACACATTACCGGCCCAGGTGAGCCGGTGCCATCAACGTCACACACTACCTGCCCAGGTGAGCCGGCGCCATCAACGTCACACACTACCTGCCCAGGTGAGCCGGCGCCATCAACGTCACTCATTACCGACCCAGGTGAGCCGGTGCCATCAACGTCACACACTACCTGCCCAGGTGAGCCGGCGCCATCAACGTCACACATTACCGGCCCAGGTGAGCCGGCGCCATCAACGTCACACATTACCGGCCCAGGTGAGCCGGTGCCATCAACGTCACACACTACCTGCCCAGGTGAGCCGGTGCCATCAACGTCACTCATTACCGGCCCAGGTGAGCCGGTGCCATCAACGTCACTCATTACCGACCCAGGTGAGCCGGTGCCATCAACGTCACTCATTACCGGCCCAGGTGAGCCGGTGCCATCAACGTCACACACTACCTGCCCAGGTGAGCCGGCGCCATCAACGTCACACATTACCGGCCCAGGTGAGCCGGTGCCATCAACGTCACTCATTACCGACCCAGGTGAGCCGGTGCCATCAACGTCACTCATTACCGGCCCAGGTGAGCCGGCGCCATCAACGTCACTCATTACCGACCCAGGTGAGCCGGTGCCATCAACGTCACTCATTACCGGCCCAGGTGAGCCGGTGCCATCAACGTCACTCATTACCGGCCCAGGTGAGCCGGTGCCATCAACGTCACACACTACCTGCCCAGGTGAGCCGGCGCCATCAACGTCACTCATTACCGACCCAGGTGAGCCGGTGCCATCAACGTCACACACTACCTGCCCAGGTGAGCCGGCGCCATCAACGTCACACATTACCGGCCCAGGTGAGCCGGTGCCATCAACGTCACCCATTACCGGCCCAGGCGAGTCGGCGCCATCAACGTCACACACTACCTGCCCAGGTGAGCCTGCTCCATCAACGTCACACACTACCTGCCCAGGTGAGCCGGCGCCATCAACGTCACTCATTACCGGCCCAGGTGAGCCGGCGCCATCAACGTCACTCATTACCGGCCCAGGCGAGTCGGCGCCATCAACGTCACACATTACCGGCCAAGGTGAGCCGGCGCCATCAACGTCACTCATTACCGGCCCAGGTGAGCCGGCGCCATCAACGTCACTCATTACCGGCCCAGGTGAGCCGGCGCCATCAACGTCACTCATTACCGGCCCAGGTGAGCCGGTGCCATCAACGTCACTCATTACCGGCCCAGGTGAGCCGGCGCCATCAACGTCACTCATTTCCGGCCCAGGTGAGCCGGCGCCATCAACGTCACACACTACCTGCCCAGGTGAGCCGGTGCCATCAACGTCACACATTACCGGCCCAGGTGAGCCGGCGCCATCAACGTCACTCATTACCGGCCCAGGTGAGCCGGTGCCATCAACGTCACACACTACCTGCCCAGGTGAGCCGGCGCCATCAACGTCACACATTACCGGCCCAGGTGAGCCGGCGCCATCAACGTCACTCATTACCGACCCAGGTGAGCCGGCGCCATCAACGTCACTCATTACCGGCCCAGGTGAGCCGGTGCCATCAACGTCACACATTACCGGCCCAGGTGAGCCGGCGCCATCAACGTCACTCATTACCGGCCCAGGTGAGCCGGTGCCATCAACGTCACTCATTACCGGCCCAGGTGAGCCGGTGCCATCAACGTCACACACTACCTGCCCAGGTGAGCCGGTGCCATCAACGTCACACATTACCGGCCCAGGTGAGCCGGCGCCATCAACGTCACTCATTACCGGCCCAGGTGAGCCGGTGCCATCAACGTCACACACTACCTGCCCAGGTGAGCCGGCGCCATCAACGTCACACATTACCGGCCCAGGTGAGCCGGCGCCATCAACGTCACCCATTACCGACCCAGGTGAGCCGGCGCCATCAACGTCACCCATTACCGGCCCAGGTGAGCCGGCGCCATCAACGTCACTCATTACCGGCCCAGGTGAGCCGGCGCCATCAACGTCACTCATTACCGGCCCAGGTGAGCCGGTGCCATCAACGTCACCCATTACCGGCCCAGGTGAGCCGGCGCCATCAACGTCACTCATTACCGGCCCAGGTGAGCCGGTGCCATCAACGTCACTCATTACCGGCCCAGGTGAGCCGGTGCCATCAACGTCACACATTACCGGCCCAGGTGAGCCGGCGCCATCAACGTCACTCATTACCGGCCCAGGTGAGCCGGTGCCATCAACGTCACACACTACCTGCCCAGGTGAGCCGGCGCCATCAACGTCACACATTACCGGCCCAGGTGAGCCGGCGCCATCAACGTCACTCATTACCGACCCAGGTGAGCCGGCGCCATCAACGTCACTCATTACCGGCCCAGGTGAGCCGGTGCCATCAACGTCACACACTACCTGCCCAGGTGAGCCGGCGCCATCAACGTCACTCATTACCGGCCCAGGTGAGCCGGTGCCATCAACGTCACTCATTACCGGCCCAGGTGAGCCGGTGCCATCAACGTCACACACTACCTGCCCAGGTGAGCCGGTGCCATCAACGTCACACATTACCGGCCCAGGTGAGCCGGCGCCATCAACGTCACTCATTACCGGCCCAGGTGAGCCGGTGCCATCAACGTCACACACTACCTGCCCAGGTGAGCCGGCGCCATCAACGTCACACATTACCGGCCCAGGTGAGCCGGCGCCATCAACGTCACTCATTACCGGCCCAGGTGAGCCGGTGCCATCAACGTCACCCATTACCGGCCCAGGTGAGCCGGCGCCATCAACGTCACTCATTACCGGCCCAGGTGAGCCGGCGCCATCAACGTCACACATTACCGGCCCAGGTGAGCCGGCGCCATCAACGTCACTCATTACCGGCCCAGGTGAGCCGGCGCCATCAACGTCACACATTACCGGCCCAGGTGAGCCGGTGCCATCAACGTCACCCATTACCGGCCCAGGTGAGCCGGCGCCATCAACGTCACACATTACTGGCCCAGGTGAGCCGGCGCCATCAACGTCACTCATTACCGACCCAGGTGAGCCGGCGCCATCAACGTCACACACTACCGGCCCAGGTGAGCCGGCGCCATCAACGTCACACATTACTGGCCCAGGTGAGCCGGCGCCATCAACGTCACACATTACTGGCCCAGGCGAGTCGGCGCCATCAACGTCACACGTCACCCACTACCGGCCCAGTCGAGCTGGCACCATCAACATCACACACTGCCGGCCCAGATCAGCCTGCTTCGAGAGGCCCTGTCCCGTGAGAACGCTGTGGCGCAGTGCAGCAGCCGCTGGCGCCGATTTAGGAAACATTGGACGTGGTCAGTCCTGCTTTCATGTCCGGCTGGACATAGCGTGTGTACCGCTTTGGTCGGAGCCAAGTTCAGACTGTTATCACGTAAGGCTTGTTCCGGGGCGGGTCGAACAGGCAGTATCGCACGTGCAGCGCGCCTGGTGGCATTCCATGCACGGAGCTCCGCTCACTGGTCGCTCCCGGTCGACGCCAGCTCTGATCTGCCGGCGGCCGCCGCTGCTGCCGCCACAGTGCTGTGTGCGGCGGTGCTGTGCACGGCGTTGCTGTGTGCGACGGTGCTGTGACCGGGCCCTGGCCGGCAGACACCCGTACCCGGTGCGCCGCGTCTCGTACCGGTACCGGGTCCAGTGTCACCACCACCCGAGCTACGTGGCGTGCGAGGCGGAGCTCAGCACCGACCGGCCCGAGAGCTACAACTGGAACTACCTCGACAACTACGTCTGCACCAAAGGTGGGAGGCCACCTGCCCGCCGGTCGGGCGCCTGCGATGTACGTGGTCTTGTCGAGGGGCCGTTCATGGACGTTTCCACGGGGGGGTATGCTCCGTTAAAAAATATCAGGCTAATCCGAATTGTTTTATTTAAATTCCTACCTCAGTGGGAAGCCCGATCGAATTTAACACTTAAAAGAAAAATACTGCGAAGTTACTTAGTCGTGAACATCCTGTTAACCAAGTAACATTTTGTTAAGCGTGTTTTCTATCCTGGAGCGTGGAAGGCCTTTCAGTGTGGTGCCGGCGGACGCCGGCCGCCGCTGTATCGGCCGGTGCGAGCCGCGCCGCGCGGAGAGGCGGTCGGTGCACAAATTCACTTGCCGCGAGCTTGGCGGGCCGAGAGAGCTGGTCCTCCAGGGACTCGGTTCGTGATGCAGCCTTGTGCTGAACGCGCGTCGTAGTTCTCTGGCTGTTTACTCCGACTGCGAGCTGCCTTTTACGTTTTGAAGGACTTGCTTTGGAAGACTACTACATCTTATGCGACGTTTTGGGTGTGGCCGTAGGTTACGTGTGTTGCTCTAACGGTTGGAGTGGCGCACTTGGTTTCTGTATAGGGGGTCTGTGTAGAAGGGTCTCTCTTGGTTTCTTATGTATGCAGGCCCGCTCACCGCAGCGGGCTCAGAAATCACCCACTCACCCCAGCATCACTGGCATCAGTCTTTTGGCAGCTGCGTGTCCTCGTGGAGAACACACGCTCCTCCCACTCCCGATCGACGCTCAGCTCGACGAGCGTCTACCTCTCTGCGTCTTTCTATCTACCGAGCGTCTATCAACCCCTCTGACCCTTCCACCGACGCCGACCCGTAGTCACCTCCCTCCGCCCTCGCTACCGCTGCCAGCCGGAGCGCGTCCTCACGCGGCGTCTTCCTGCGCGTCACGGCCGGCGTGACGCGACACGTGACACGTGCCCCGGTCTGCGTCGGCAGGCGGCTCGGACTTCCAGCTGAGCAACAATCTCAAGTACTGGCGGTGTCGCTTTCTGCTGGTGCCGGGCGTGCCGGCCGCCGCCAGGGACGCCGCCGCCGCCCCCGCCGCCGCGCACGACTCGAAGACGCTCGTCGACAACTTCATCAGGTTCATCAGTGCCGTCACGTTCGCGCTGAACAAGTTCAAGCGGCATCAGCCGACGTCGGCGCGGCAGCAGATCCGGGTGAGTCGGCGGGCTGCGGGACGGGCCGGCAAGCAGGGGACAGCGGCCACGGCGCCGCGCGGGGGCGGGCAGGGTCACGTCTGGGGGACGGGGCTTAGGGAACGGCACTGGGGGCGACTGAGGACCACGGCCGCCTGCAACTGTGGACTTGTTGATGTTCGAGTCTGTGTGCTGTGCGGCGGGCCAGGCCGAGTCTGTGCGCCGTGTGCCGAACTGGCCCGAGTCTGTGTGCTGTGTGGGGGTCGAGTCCGTGTGCTGTGCGGCGGGCCAGGCCTAGTGTGTGCGCTGGGTGCGGGGTCGAGTCTGTGTGCTGTGCGGCGGGCCAGGCCGAGTCTGTGTGCTGTGTGCCGGGCCGGGCTGAGTCTGTGTGCCGGGCCGGGCCGAGTTTGTGTGCTGTGTGGGGGTCGAGTCTGTGTGCTGTGCGGCGGGCCAGGCCGGGTCTGTGCGCTGTGTGCCGGGCCGGGCTGAGCCTGTGTGCTGTGCGGCGGGCCAGGCCGAGTCTGTGCGCTGTGTGCCGGGCCGGGCCGCGTGCGTGCGCCGCTGACCTCCTCTCGCCGCCGGCCAGGAGCGCCTCTCCAGCAACCGTGTGGACCAGCGGATCCGGGCCCGCTCCGGCAGCAGCGTGATGAAGGTGCGCCAGGAGGCGGCCGCGCGCTCGGTAGCCGGCGCCGCGGCCGCCTCCAACTCGGCCGAGGACGTGTCGGCGACGACGGCGGGCGGCGCCGGCAGCGGCACCCTGCTCAGCTCGGCCGCCACGGCCGCCGAGGTGAGTCGGCCGCGGAGCCGGGACCGCCGGCCAGCTGTCTGGCAGCGGCACCCTGCTCAGCTCGGCCGCCACGGCCGCCGAGGTGAGTCGGCCGCGGAGGTGAGCCGGCCGCGGAGCCGGGACCGCCGGCCGCGGAGCCGGGACCGCCGGCCAGCTCGCTGGCAGCGGCACCCTGCTCACCTCGGCCGCCACGGCCGCCGAGGTGAGTCGGCCGCGGAGCCGGGGCTCGCCAGCCGGGGCTCGCCAGCTCGCCAACGGCGGCACCAGCTTATGGGACAAACAGTGAACGGATATTGGTCAGTGTGCATTGAAAGCAACACCGAACGCGAGTGATCGCAAGCTTAACTATTGGGGAACGCCAGTGGGAATAAGCACCGAAATGGAAAGTGAAATGGAATTAATGGAAATGGTGTTACGAGATTGCAGTTCTGTCGTTTTTCTAACTCAATATGGCGTCCACATCCATGCTGCACGTATCTTGAAATTACATCCTTTTCCACCTCGATATCTTTCGTATCGGTAGTTGTCCCTGTCGCCATCTTGCTCTTGACATGCTGTCTTCGACATTTTTCCATTCGATCATTTTTGCATTTGATATTGTCGACGGCAACCGTGACTTAGTGTTTGACGCACATTTTAAGTGCACGTCAAGCCAGACGTGCCCGAATAATGCGGCCGGCAGGGCACGGCGTGCACCAACGACGGCGCGTCTGTGGTGTGCCTTTTCATTGATAATGGCCAGTGAAAAGCAAGTGAACGGCCGCCCGCCTCCGCTATCACTGGCTGCCCCGGCAGTTGGTCGGGCCTTGAGCCCGAGGTCAGCCACTGCACCCGGGGTCAGCCACTGCACCCTAGGTCAGCCACTGCACCCGGGGTCAGCCACTGCACCCGGGGTCAGCCACTGCACCCGGGGTCAGCCACTGCACCCATGTGCCGTATATCCTCTCTCACTCATCTGGCGGTCGCATTGCGTGCGGTTTGTTACCAGCCTGCCAACGCAAAATTTCCCGTACAGCTGCCATCCAAACGGTAGCACATTGTAGTCGATTGTGCGCTGTGTGTTTGTGCCGGCGTGTGCTCGGCTTGTGTTGCCGTCCTGAGGCGCGCCAACTTCGGGAGGTGGCGGTGAGCCCGTGGTCGCGCCTCCGTGCCGCAGGTGGTGGACGTACTGCGCTCGCCGGAGCTCGGTCTGCCCTTCCTCACGCGCTCCGTGCAGGGCGGCCTGCCCGAGTTCACGTTCGTGGCCGCCGACCTGGTGCAGTGGGTGTACCAGCACGTGGCGGGCGTCACCAGCGAGCAGGATGCCGTGCGGTACTGCCAGGTGCGCGGACGGCCGGCGCCGCCAGTCCCCCCCCCCCCCCCCCCCCTCCCTCTCAGACCAGCCGCGGGGTGCATCAGGCGACAGGCCTGCTCAGACCCTGCAGCCGCCTGTGGCATTTTCAGCGATTGCACCAAGTGATTGCTTATTTCCCACCGTCTTATGGAGGTGCATGGAAATGCGTTTTTTTCAGTACGGTGATCGACTTAACGCCAACCATTCCAGTGGGCGAGGGCGCCGTTCGGACCAGTCGGTATGCAACTGTCCCAGAGGGATAGCATGTTTGGTTAAAGCCTTAAGACATCGGCTTGTGACAGGTGCGAATAGTCATTTTCCGTCGTTGAGTATGTCGTTTGACGCCGGCGTCCGTGCTGTTGAATAGTATTCTTCTGCATCTAGCGCGACATTCATTCAACCGCAATTCAATATGGGGTCCGCTCTTTGTCATAGCTGTCATCTTCGCGTACCCTATTTTCTCCATTGTGTTTACCACAGCGATGTCGTGTGTTCTACAGTACATACGCCAGGAGAACATCATACTGCACGCTTCTCGCGACTTGACCCGGCCGTTCGTGAACGGCTTCTGCCTGTTCTGTGTCGCCGCTCCTGCCGGTACGTGGGGTGTCCTGGCAGCCGCTGGAGGTGCCGCCGGCTTGCTGGCCGCCCCCAGCAGGCACGAGACTCTGTCCCTCGAAACCCGGACTGGTACACTTGGTTCTGCGAACACATGCTATCATATTGTTGGGATGGTTCCAGCCAGTGACACCTATCTCTTTTGATAGCCTTTTGAGGTACCATGTTCCTCTGGTACATGGTACCAGAGGAACATGGTACCTCTGGTACCATGGTAGGAACTGCCCACCTGGAGCAGTTCGCCGCTGTTGTCCGCCGCTTGCTGGCATTTACCATACGAGTATGGTAAATACCAGCCTTAAGTCTACACTACGCGGTCAACCAGCGGGTTGCCAAGGGCCCAATCTTTTATGCAATGAATGATGGCGCGTACCGTTGTGTTTGCAGAGCCGGCTGTGACTAGTACTTGGGTGGAACCTCACATTGTCAGACTTACATGGTCATTCACCAAAGGTACCGTCACCGAAACAACCAATATGGTCACTGCAATAGCCAGTCACTAAAGCCTCAGTCACCAAAGTGACCACCAGAATAGTCAGTCTAGAAATTCCGGTCGCAACTCAGCCCTAGCACATCTACCGCCACCATCCCTGCCGCCAACGCTATCCCGCCTCCGTGTCCTCCGCTCCGCGCAGCGCCCATAACGGCCTACGCGGCACTGCGCAGCGCCCATAGCGGTCTGCGCGGCGCCCATAGCGGCCTGCGCGGCACCCATAGCGGTCTGCGCGGCACTGCGCGCCACTCGCAGCGGCCTGCGCGCGCACCGCCCTGTGGAACGTCCGTCCCGCGCTCCCGCAGACGGCGTGCAGCTGGCGAGCAGCGCCGCCCACCTGGAGCAGTTCGCCGACGAGTGGCTCGAGGTGGAGACGCAGTTCTGGTGGCCGCGCCCGGTGCTGGCCGGCGCGCGGTTCCTGGCGGCCGCGCTGCCCCGCCAGGACGACCCGTTCGAGTGTGAGTGGCCGCGCGGCCCGCTCCGGGGCAGACGCGCTCGACGGCGGCGGTCCGCGCGCAGGGTGTCGGCGCGTGGGGCGTAATTGGTGATATTGTTACGCATATTGGCGCAGCTGTTGCTGTGTGCGTTTCTTCGTTTTGCGTGCGTGCGCGCGCGCGCGCGTAGTATGCATGCGTGCTTGTGTGGGCTGGTGTAGAAATGAAAGCAACCAGATCTCATCCTTTGCGCCGCTTGCTGTCCTTGTTAGCATTGACAACCTTTTAAGGTTTTGTCGCCACATATGTCGCGTACTTAAGAACCCAAGCGTATTTTCGTTCGGTGTCTTGTCCCTGACAAGTGAAAATTGTTCCTGTATCGCATATCTGTGCGTCAGCTCCCCGCCCCCCCCCCCTCGCTGTTGTACCGTCAGTCTCTCCCCTCATTGGTGTCCGTCTGTTCGGGCAGGCGGTAGGATGACTGCTGTACCCTCAGTCTCTCTCCTCATTCGTGTCCGTCTGTCTATCCGGGCAGGCGGCAGGATGACTGTTGCACCCTCAGTCTCTCCCCTCATCGATGTCCGTCTGTCTATCCGGGCAGGCGGCAGGGTGACTGTTGTACCCTCAGTCTCTCCCCTCATCGATGTCCGTCTGTCCGGGCAGGCGGCAGGTGACTGTTGTACCCTCAGTCTCTCCCCTCATCGGTGTCCGTCTGTCTGTCCGGGCAGGCGGCAGGGTGACTGTTGTACCCTCAGTCTCTCCCCTCATCGGTGTCCGTCTGTCCGGGTAGGCGGCAGGTGACTGTTGTACCCTCATTCTCTCCCCTCATCGATGTCCGTCTGTCTATCCGGCCAGGCGTCAAGATGCGGCGCGGCGCGCTGGACCTGGACGTGTCCGCCAAGTCGGACCGCTCCGAGTGGGGCGAGATCGCCTACGAGATCTCGTTCAAGCCGGACCGCGCCTACCAGTTCTGCATCAACTGGCTGGTGGGCACCGGCAGCCTGATCTCCGACCTGGTGAGGGCCGCGCTGGTCGGGTCAGCTCGGCTCCGACGGTGGCCCGTGTCGCCGGACACTGGCTCTGCACGGCCGTCAGGCACGCACCCAGGCGTCTCTGGCCGAGCGGGCAGCAGTCCGAATTGGGCTGGCGGTAGAAAGTAGCAACAAGGCCGTGACGTTTGTCTGTGAGATGCTTTAAATGGTGATTGGAATCGGTAACTCCGGGTCGGGATAGATCACGTCCGCATGGTCAGGCCAGTGGCCGAACCTCGTCGCATTTCAACGGCGAGCGAGAACGGGCAGCCCGGCCTGCCGCTGAATCGATGTTGACGCCGAAGCCGGCGCCGGCCGGTCTGACGCGCCTGTCCGCCGCCGCCTCTGCCGCAGGTGGTGAGCTGGCAGCGACGGGCGCAGAACTCGGGCATGCGTCTGTTCCCGGTGCCGGTGGTCATGTGCCCGGGCAGCACGCGCGACATCGACCCGCTGCGCATCCCCGTGCACGTGCCGATCCAGCTGGACGCCCTGCGCCAGGGCGGACGGCCGCTCTTCCACGGTGGGTGCCGGCTGGCCGCGCCGACTGACGAGGCGGGAGGAGGCGGAGGGGGCGGCGACGACCGGCCCGGTCGGGAGCCCGCCGCCGGGCGGGGCTACGCGGCGTCTGGACTGGCCGGGGCTGGCCGTGGAGATCCGACCCTTGCGCACCGCGTGACCGCCGCGTCGCCGGTGTTTGTCTGTATTCATGCGTTATTCACCTTCTTGAGCCACCAACGTCTAACCAGACATGCCTAACCGCTTAGCCTGTCATGTGAGGAGCCTGCGAGACACGCGTCCAGCTGGTGTCGAACCATCAACGTCTAACCAGACATGCCTAACGGTTTAGCCTGTCTTGTGAGGAGCCTGCAGGGCACTCGTCCAGCTGGTGTCGAGCCACGGACGTGTCTCAGCCAGTGACTGAGCGGTCTCTCACGGCGCGCCGCTCCCGCAGGCTTCCCCCCGTCGACGTGGCGGCAGCGGCTTCTGCTGCTGCAGTCGGCCATCCTGGAGCGGTTCGAGTTCGTGCGCCTGCGCGACGCCGCGCCCGGCCCGCCGTACCAGTACATCCACGCCAGCGGACACTGCTTCGCGCAGATCCCGGAGCCGGTCCAGACGGACGACGGCGATCCGGTCCAGGTGAGGGACGGCTGCTGGTCCAGATCAGGGACAGCTGCGAGTGGGCGACCCGGTCCAGGTTAGGGGCGACCACAGGTGGACGACTTGGTCCAAGCTCAGGGACGGCTGCTGGTGGACGACCCGGTCCAGGTCAGGGACGGCTGCTGGTCCAGGTCAGGGACGGGTGTCGGTCCAGGTCAGGGACGGCTGCAGGTGAACGATCCGGTTCAAGACCGGGGAAAGCCTTGATAGGTGGCCCTGTCCAAGTCGGTGTGTGGGTCGGAATGACCGGCCCAGTCCAGGTCGGCGGAAGGAGGAAGGCGGCTGACCTGATGTTGACCGGAGGAGAGGATTTAAGATCAATGGGCTGGTCCAGGTGGGCGCCCAGTTCCAGGTCGGGAACTGGGTCAGGGCGAGCGACCCAGACCAGTTGAGCGGGGGTATCATGATGATGCGACTCGGTCCTGGTCAGAGCCGGAGGAGAGGCCTGGTCACGTGACGATGGGATGCAAGCCAGCTCAAAGTTTGAAGTGTACGCGACGAGGCATACCTCGTGTCTGTTTCTGGTGCTGTTTGTCCCCCGTCTCTCAAGCCCGGTCAGTCGGCAGAGCGCAGGACACGTGACCGCTCGGGCCACAGACACGTGGGCTCGCGGCCCGAACACCGAGCTCGATCCCTTGGCTCGTGGGAGGCGGAGACGGTGCCATGAAGGGGTCAGGCCAGCACCGGCGGCCGTGTTGCGATATTGCATGACTCGTTGGGGTATGTCGGCCAAGGTGACACGTTATACTGGAATGGCTGCATTCTGGTGGTGGGATGAGGGCCTTTACAAGAACGCATGGTTCGCGAGGATGGTAATCTCAAAGCCAGGCTTGCAAAACATTGGGTTAAGTAAGCACGGTTGCCCTTTTGTTTTGATTGATAATTGCAAACACAAAATATCGCTACAATTCGATGCATTTGATGACAATTTGATGCCTACAACACCCTTTGATGCGTAAGGGTTGGCATATAATTCACAATCACCCATCAATCAGGACCAAAGATCTATCAAGTGTGTGAACGGGTTCATTGCAGCCGACCAGCCAGCAACACTTCAGCCAACCAGAAATATTGTCACGCTGTACCGGTATGAGTGCCGCGCCGTAAGCACCTTTCTAAAATACATTTTTGTCTGGGCGCCCTGGCTTGCCTTTACGCGGCGTCGTCCTGGCAGCTTCCTCTGAGAGGAGAAGTTCATTTGTGACCCGTGTTATGGCCATCGCCTTAACCCGCGTAGTCTTCACCCTTTACCGGCCAGTATCGACGCTCGCCGGCCACCAACTGTGACCTGCTGTGACCGTCCGGTCCAGCAAGTGCCTGCCGGACGTGGCCTTCCATTTCGCACCCGTCCGGCGCGCCGGTTGGGTGTTATCGTCTGGGATGCCAAGTTATCGCAGGGGCTGGAAATTCCCTGCCGATATCGCGCTCTAGAAAACAACTTGAAATAGCTGCTATGCACATGTTACGAGCGATGGTAAAAGTTTCACCCGAACACAGTGCATGTGTGCGTTGAATGGCATCATCGGACATCGCGATGAAGTGCCCCATGTTTTCAGTACGAGAGGCTGTACCGTGCCGTGTCGTGCCGTGCCGTGCCGCGCCGCGCCGTGCCGTGCCGTGCCGTGCCGTGCCGTGTCGTGACATGCCGTGCCGTGTCGTGTCATGCCATGCCGCGCCGTGCCGCGCCGCGCCGTGTCGTGTCATGCCATGCCGTGCCGTGTCGTGTCATGTCATGTCATGCCATGCCGTGCCGTGTCGTGCCGTGCCGCGCCGCGCCGTGCCGTGCCGTGCCGTGCCGTGCCGTGCCATGCCGTGCCGTGCCGTGCCTTGCCGTGCCGTGCCGTGCCGTGTCGTGACATGCCGTGCCGTGTCGTGTCATGCCATGCCGCGCCGTGCCGCGCCGCGCCGTGTCGTGTCATGCCATGCCGTGCCGTGTCGTGCCGTGCCGTGTCGTGTCATGCCGTGCCGTGCCGTGCCGTGCCGTGCCGTGCCGTGCCGTGCCGTGCCGCGCCGCGCCGCGCCGTGTGGGGCCAGTGTGTGTCGCCCCGGCCGGCCTTGACCTGACTGCCCGGTCGGCCCGGCAGGCGGAGCTGCAGTGGTACACCAACTGCCTGCTGTCGCGCCGCTGGCGGGTCGCCGCCGACGACTCGGGCGACCGGCTGCTGGCCGAGCTCACCGCCTTCTGCCGCGACCAGGACGGCCGGCTGCAACTGTTCTGGCGGCAGGCGCAGGCGCAGGCGCAGCTGCAAGAGGCAACGCCCCTGCACGAGCCCTGAGCGCCGCTGAGGCTGTCGAGGGCGGCCGGAGAGCGGTGCGCTCAGAGACGCCCTGGGAACGCGAGTCAGCGCAGCGGCGGGATGGGACCGACTGCGGCCGTTTCTGGCGTCTGGCGCCAGACGGCGGACGTGGCTGCATGTGAAGCGTTACTCTGTGGCTGGCGCTGAGCCACCAGGCGAGCGTGCGCGTCGCTGGCCGGATGTTACGGCCTGGACGCGCTGTGCGCTTTGCTAGTCATTTGTCGCGTATTCTGGGCAGAAGGCTCGCCGCACGTCACGTGACCGTCACGTGACGAACGGGATCCGGGGCGAAACCTGTTGGTATGCACTGCTGGCGTGCCGCCTCGTTGGGTCATCATCCGACTCATACCCAACGCATGGGTGCAATATACATGAATGCTGTAAGGACGCAGTGTGTGAATGCTCATTTCTGCTGTCCGGTGTGCGGACTAGTTGCTGTGGGAGACGCCCTGTCGCGTGCAGCGCTAGAGGCGTCGCTGCAGACGGCCTTTGGCCTGTCCCTCGCGGTCCGGGCGAGCTTGCGGTGGGGTTCGCTGGCCCGCCCGGCTGCGGCCAGTAGCGAGGGAGACGCGCTGGAGTCGGCTACCTCTGAGGCTGCATGCTCAGCTAAACGAGGCTGTACGTAACAGTCAAGCTAAAAGCTTTGTTTCCGATCGGTTTCAGTTCATTAGGGTGCTGGCAGCCGCGGGCATGTTTCGAACTGCCTCCGCTGTATGACTGGTCGAGTGGAGGTAACTAGTGTACCAAGTAAAGTGGCTGTTGGGCTGGAATTACTGTACAAGGACCGGATTTCGAAATAGCGTGTGAAACCCCGCTGCAGAAGTCATTCCAGCACAAATCTCGATTTTATCTTTCAAAAAAGTGCGATATTGAGATATGCAACTTTTTGGATTAGAGCCCTTTTGACCAGAAATAATCATTTCAGGGCTATGGGATGAAGGAAAATGGTTAACGGTGGGGTAGATTTGCATGCGCCTGGGGGGCCAACCGCCGAGCTTTAACCTGCGCATGCGCAGGCACCTGGTGCCACAGCATTGCCAGTCACGGCTTTGCTTAATTTTTATGTCATCTTCAGATGCTTCCCGCACTCTGGGGATGTCACACTCACAGTCGCTGCGTCGCGGGGAGGGGAGGCAGCACGAGGCAGCGCTATATGTGGCGATACCTACACTCGCAGGTGGAGAGGCAGGGCCCATAGATGGAGCTTTGTGGGACTCTGAGGAAGCTGCCCCTCCCACTCTGTCTATTTCGAGCCCTTCGGATGTAAACAGAAAGGTAAAATCGCCCGCAACAAGAGAAAAAATGTTTGTGCAAAATCTATTCAACAAGACCTTATACTCAAATGAGCATGACCACGGCTGCGTCTTCCCTGCGCCGGCGGATAGAAGTGCCAGTTACGCGTGCCTCCTCTTGCGCCCACGCGAGCGCCCTGGCCAGGCGTTAGTCACCCTCCCAACCCATTCCCTGCCACTCGTCGACACCACGTTCCCCGACTTTCATGCCGAGCATGGGGCACGCCTAAGATCAGCATTGCCGAACTGGCGTCTGAGCTCCGTGATACTTACGACTTTACTTGTGATACTGATACTAGATACTTCCGGCTACGGCACGCCACGGCCGAGAGGCGCGGGGCACGAGACGCGCCTGTGTGCAGCGTTGTCTTGCGGAATCTCACTGTTCTCGCCCTGATTTCCTGAGGCCCATGACCACCACCGAGAGCACACTCATGGCCACCCGTCAGTGATTACGCGTGGGAAAGTGGCTTCCAGTCGCCAGAGCGGATGCTTAGGTTTGCAGCATTTTGCCGAAGCGCCATCACTTTGAGAGGATCCACGGGTAGGGACACAGCGACCAGCCAATCGGCTCAACGGACGCTGCAGCGGGTGCATGGACGGGCTGAATGTGGAGATTACCCGGAGCACGACGAGAATGCTGTCAGTACCGGCCACCGTCAGTTCCACCGGCACTCACAGCATGCCGGTGTCGACTTGTGCGGTGAAAAGGCTCACGAGATTCCGGTTGTGAGGTTGGTCAGTGCCGCGAGAGAGAAAATTACAGGCTGACGTCCACGGCGAGGTGCATTGCCGGCTCAAATAAGTCACAGTGTTGTATATAACACCGGGCGGCGTGTCGGCCCCAGGGCCGCGTCATGTCAACCCCAGGGCCGCGTCATGTCAGACCCAGGGCCGCGTCATGTCAGCCCCAGGGCCGCGTCATGTCAGACCCAGGGCCGCATCATGTCAGACCCAGGGCCGCGTCATGTCAGCCCCAGGGCCGCGTCATGTCAGCCCCAGGGCCGTGTCATGTTAGCCCCAGGGCCACGTCATGTTAGCCCCAGGGCCGCGGCATGTCGGCCCCAGGGCCGCGTCATGTCAGACCCAGGGCCGCGTCATGTCAGCTCCAGGGTCGCGTCATGTCAGACCCAGGGCCGCATCATGTCAGACCCAGGGCCGCGTCATGTCAGACCCAGGGCCGCGTCATGTTAGCCCCAGGGCCGCGTCATGTCAGACCCAGGGTCACGTCATGTCAGCCCCAGGGCAGCGCCATGTCAGCCCCAGGGCCGCGTCATGTCAGCTCCAGGGCCGCGTCGTGTCAACCCCAGGGTCACGTCATGTCAGACCCAGGGCCGCGTCATGTCAGCTCCAGGGCCGCGTCATGTTAGCCCCAGGGTCACGTCATGTCAGCTCCAGGGCCGCGTCATGTCAGTCCCAGGGCCGCGTCATGTCAGACCCAGGGCCGCGTCATGTCAGCCCCAGGGTCACGTCATGTCAGACCCAGGGCCGCGTCATGTCAGCCCCAGGGTCACGTCATGTCAGACCCAGGGCCGCGTCATGTTAGCCCCAGGGCCGCGTCATGTCAGCCCCAGGGCCGCGTCATGTCAGCTCCAGGGCCGCGTCATATTAGCCCCAGGGCCGCGTCATGTCAGACCCAGGGCCGCGTCATGTCAGCTCCAGGGCCGCGTCATGTTAGCCCCAGGGCCGCGGCATGTCGGCCCCAGGGCCGAGTCATGTCAGACCCAGGGCCGCGTCATGTCAGCTCCAGGGCCACGTCATGTTAGCCCCAGGGCCGCGTCATGTCAGACCCAGGGCCGCGTCATGTCAGACCCAGGGCCGCGTCATGTCAGCCCCAGGGCCGTGTCATGTTAGCCCCAGGGTCACGTCATGTCAGACCCAGGGCCGCGTCATGTCAGCTCCAGGGCCGCGTCATGTCAGCCCCAGGGCCACGTCATGTTAGCCCCAGGGCCGCGTCATGTCAGACCCAGGACCGCATCATGTCAGACCCAGGGCCGCATCATGTCAGCCCCAGGGTCACGTCATGTTAGCCCCAGGACCGCGTCACGTCAAACCCAGGACCGCATCATGTCATGACCGAGACCCAGCCGTCGTCTGGAATGGGGACGGAGGCTGCAGGTCATAGCCTGATCAGCAGTACAAACGGCAGCGGCGCCGTTTCGCTCAGTCCGTAGGATCAGGTGTGCAATTTCGGTATAAGTAAGGCCTTTAACACTTGAACTTTCGGAATCGTGATTTACTTCATAGTTTTCATACTGAGTTGTCATTTGGATATGATATGCCAAAAAAATGCCGGTTAAGCAACGCATTAGAGCAATCATTGGCTACATTGCCAACCATGACGTTTAAGCCGTGCTTACCTATGCCCACTCGCAATCATAATCGCGAGTTGAAACGTCGAGCGGTGTCAAAATAACTAATGTTTGCTCTATAACGTCGCTTAAACAGCGCCTCCGAACATGCTGAATGCCGACAGCCCAGCATAGGAACTTTCTAACTCATAATGCCGTCATGCCGTTGAGAAGTTTTTTGGTTCAGGAAGCCTGTACAACATCCATGCATTCGGCTTCCCGTTTGCTAGCTAGCTGGCGGCCGCTGCCCCCCCCCCCCCCTCTTTCGCCTGCACCTCAAGCGCCGGTCATTTTCGTTTGAGCTTTTTGTGTTTCGGGTCGACACACGCCGGCACGAGATCAATGTGCGTTCGCACGCATTGGCAGACAAGATTTGAATGAGTCGCGTTCGTGAAGTCGTGTTTCGCTCAGTGCTTCATGTAGCGTATTCACGCCTTTTCTACGTGTGCTCGGCTGACTTTGTCGCTGTCAAGAGAGTACGTGCAGTTGTGTATGAAAAAGTAGCGATCAGGAGTAACTGGCAGTGGAATTATTAATTGTCATGTATTTGTGTGTTAAAACAACTGGCAATAACCAATCAGTGGTAATGAGCAGCGCACACCGTTAATGAGTTTGGTGGCTGCGAAGTACGATTCTTGAAGTTTGTGAACCGCTGACCGGAGCATGCGCAACACGTGCCGCCCGCCACTGAGCGCCACATGTGCGCGGTCCCACCCACAGGCCAGCACACGCCACGCGCAACCCTCTGTAAAGCTCGCAGAGCAACGAATAAATGTCTTAACCAATCAAACGTCAACCGATTAGTACATATGGCACGAGGGGGTAGTCGGCCGGGCGGCCGGCACGGGCCCAGCGGGCGGTGGCGCGCGGCGCGGCCCGGCCTCAGCTGCCCGATACACGGCGCCGGCGAGTCTCACCGGCGCCCCACGTGACTGCGACAGCCAGACACACACGTTCTACTGGCGGCCGCCGACGGACGCGGACGGCGCCGCGCGCGCCGGCCTCAACACGCGCGTCAGGCCACGGCAACGAGCACTCAGCGCCGCACCGTCGCAGGCCGCGAGCCTGCTGTCGGACGCGTCTCCTCTGGCACGGCCTCCCCCACAGAACGTGGGGTCGCACGGCACCATCTGTTCAGTTCAGTTCTATACGCCTAACAAGCACAAAATCAACTCCATAAACAATTCAGTACACGCCGGGCGGCTCGTGCATAAAGTAAAAGCTCACATGCGTAAAAAGCACTGCGCGTGAGCTGCTGGGAATGGAGTGGAATGAGTGCAAAGCGACGCAAGCGCATGCTATCATAAGTAGCGGATAGGCCGCCGGCGCCACGTCAAGCACGGCTAAAACAATTATGACTGCTCGCCGCGGGGGAAGACTAATCTAGAGCCGGTGCGGCCGGGGCGCGCGCGCTGGCGGGAGTGAGCTGCGGCGGCGTCGACGGTCGGCCGTGTCGGCTGAGGTAGTGACCGCCGCCGCGGATGGCACGGAGCGCAGCACGCCCCGGACCGGCTGGCCGGACCGGACCGGACCGAACCGGACCAGGTCAGACCAGACCAGACTAGACCGGCCCAGACCAGACCAGAGTCCGCTGTGTCGCACCGACGGGTGGCGGACGCGCGGCCTCGACTGCGCGGCCGCGCCAAACCGGCCACCAGCGAGACGTCAAACCGGGACCGCCCGGTGTCCACGACACCACGCGCACACGACACTGAAGAACACCTCGGCCAGACGCCCCGGTCGCCGGCCGGCGGGCGTCCCAGCAGCTGCGCACAGCGACGGCGGGTCACGTGAGGCCGGCCGCCGAACCGCTCAGCCGGCGCGGGAGTCTCTGAGCCGCGCGGCGCCGCAGTGTTCCGGCCGCCGCCTCACTGGCCTCGGTGTCGGCGCCTGCCCGGCGGGGCGGCCCGGCCCGCCGGCCGGTCGGCTCCCTGAGTGGGACCGCGGCGCCGCCGCCGGCCGAGCGGCCCGCTCAGCCGGCCCCGCGCCGCTCCGGTCAGCTGGTCGCCGCCGCCCGCTGCTTGGCCTCCTGCTCCTGCTGCCGCTGCCGCTGGCGCTCCGCCTTCTGGCGCTTCTTCACCTGCTTGTGGTGCTCCCGGGTCATCGAGTCTTCGTCCAGGTCTAGCTTGATCATCTGTGAAATGGGGCGGGGTGAGGGAGGCACAGTGGGCAGCTTGATCCATATTTCAACCGGCTCTAATTAGGCTCTGCCAGTTTCCGGTTTTATAAGTTGGACCAGTTTTTACCAGTTTAAACACGCACCAGCTGGCAGAACGTCAGAATCATAACGTCCCCTATTAACAACTATATGACATTGAAGTTATATGTATGTATATATGCAGTATCTTTCCATTAATACAGGTGTAAGCTTTCGTTTCGGCGGTTTGGAATATTTTAAGTCATGCACTATATTGGCGCGTTTTACTCTCTCTGCTTTTGCTGCCAGGTTGTTTTTATGACGATTAAACTGACTTTCCGCTTTTGTAAATAACGGCAAGTTATTACCACAAGTTATTATATACAAGTTATACCATCGACTTCTGTTGTCTGTCGGTTTAACGTTTGCCCCGATGGCGCTTGAAAACATTTTTCACCGACCTTGCATGACAGGAACATCTGGCTTTCATAAAATAGCTGATGCATGGTCTCATATTGCGTCCCACTAGTCATGTAACAGGTACGGGCGCAGAACGACCATCGCAGTCTGCGCACCCTGAACACCCACTCATCATCATAATGGCTTTCCATCACGCGGTTTCGGGTTTGGCCGGCGTCAGCCGGACCTGATCTCTTGGTCAGCTAGGCTGCTGATCAAGAGATCAGAAACCAGTATTTGCCTGCGCCGTCGAGATTCCTGGCGTGTCCAGGGCCGATCAGAGCAACGACATTACTGGACGTGGATTAATACAGACGCATACGAGGAGGCGTGTTATGTGCAGTATTCATGTATGTATTCGAGCGCCCTGCGTGTGATATATTTTATTCGTATGACAATGTTGCATGGCATTAGTATGTGGATATCAATCCTCGGTAAGAGTGCATGATCTAGCTACGGGCGAGGAAGGCTTTGAGACCCTGGTTTTTCGAGATTGTGAGCTGAGAGTTACGTTGCAAACATCAGATCTGACCATGCACGGAAAATGACGACCCGTCAGTTCGTGACCATGAGCACAGCTTCCAAACGTTGAGGTCACTTAATATATAACGCCAATCCGTATGGTATAATGAAGGCCCATTATTTTCGGTGTGTAACTTCCGACTCACTGTGATTTTGATCACGCAAGTTCGTGTGTTGGCTGTGGGTGTTTTTTTTTCTCAATGCGCAGCTTATGAAGGCCCACCGCCGAAAGCTATCCTTAATGCCAAAATTTAGCTATTACAACACTGCGGTTTTCAAGTACGCTGCTACAAGTACTTTGGACAAATCACAGGCCCGCGTTCCGTGGCATAACTTTGCAAGGTTTCTGATTTAACCCTCCCATACTACCACAATGGTTGGTGGGAACTGTTATTCATTATCACAGCCATTTATGACTTGTTTGTTTGTAACTTGTTTGCTTGTGAACATAACTTGCTTATGACTGCGTTTTGACAAGTTAATACGACTTCCGCAAAATACAGTGGTATTCCCAGATATTGGACTAAGCATGCCCAGTCCGTCATGAGGCTACAACAAATGGATCGCCTGCCTACTGGCACAATCTTCATTTGGTTTGGTTTTGCTTGAATAATATAAATACAAATGTATCTCATGCCCCATTTTAACATATTCTGACACCATGCGGTTTTGTCAGTCATCCGTCACTCTTTATACATTTACACGTTTGGCATCGCGGTAATAATAACGATACCCAACATACGATTACTGTTATTGTTATACGGCTACATGAACTTCATTGGCTTACAACATGATCTCCTGGGCTTAAGTTTCAGCCAGTTCTCGTCAGTTTTTGCCACCAGTTGTTTTTGCTAGCCGGTTTTCGCCGGTAACAACGGCTTAAACGGGCTAAAGCCAGCAGAAACACTGCTGGCATCAACTGTTTAGTCCATAGCTGTCCACCCAGGTTCGCAATGCAACGAATAGGGACGCACAGACGACCAGCCGCGTGCCCACAACAGCTCAAGATGGACCAATGTGATTCAAGCACACACACGCAAGCTTAAACATCTCAGCACGATTCGATGTACTGCGCTTTCTTTTCATTTCGCGAAAAGAAGCGCAAAGGCTCTCAAACAAAAACACAATGGTAGGTGGATACTCTGCCTCGCCAAAAACGCGAGACAAAAAAAAAGTTTTCCGGCCTTCATCTGCCCGAGGGCAGCGTCAGACGAGCCTGGGGCTGTAGGGGAGGTGGAGGAGGAGGGAAGGGCGTTACCTGGTGCACGAGCGCCGTCTCGTGCATGATCTCCGGCGGCAGCGAGCGCAGACACTCGACCGTCTCGTACATGCTGGGGCACTGCTTCATGATGCCGCGGCGGCCGAGCGCGTACCGGATCAGCACCAGACCCACGCGGAACAGCACCTTCACGCCTGCGGAGGTCACGGCCGGTGACGGCGGCACGTCACGCCCGTAACGTCACGGCGGTCCCAGCGCCGCGCGGTCCGACGCGCGGCGGGACGCGCGCATCAGCACACACCGCCGCACGGACTTCGGAGGTTGACGCTACGATCCGACACCAGGCGATGTAAATGTCTGAAGTCGAGGTGGGCAACCAACAGCACGCAAAGACCCACTAGGGTGTCGAACTGCGTTTGCTTAAACAACGCCTCAGATCGAGTCTTGGCAAAACGACAGGAGCAAATTTTCTCAGAATTTTTTCTTGCCATTTAAATATTTCAAATCTCGTTAAACATCTTCTGCAAAACTCTAAAAAAAAAAAAAACAGCGGCGGTGACAGAGCAGTGGCGGAGCGGCCGGGTTGCTGACCTTCGCAGAAGAACATGTCCCAGACGCGCAGCACGGACGCCCAGGGCAGCGTGCGACTGAAGATGCACATGAACCACTCGACCATGTACAGCGCCGGGTCCACCTTCTGCTTTTTCTGCGGACGGGGAGGCGGACGATTACGTCCGAGACGAGCGAGACGACACGACATGCAGCGGCTGGCCACCAGCTGAGGTGGGCCGCCCAGCGACGGTGGAACAACATGTACCGCCGCCGGCGGGCTCCAGAAACGCTACTGGCATGTGTTGGCCGAGACTTAATACGCCTATTCCAAGAGATGCACGCTCACGGCGTAGATACAGGCTTCGATCGATACATAGATTTTGTTGACATTCGGGCGTACGGTGCTCCCGATAAGACCATAGATCCCGCTGACGGAGCCGCCTGGAGGCCCGCTTGGAGACCCGGCGGCCCCGCCTAGAGGCCTGGAGGCCCATCAGCCCCGCCTGAAGGCCTAGCGGCCCCACCTGGAGGCCTGGAGGCCCGGCGGCCCCGCCTGGAGGCCCGGGGCCCCCGCCGGCGCTGGCGGCCCACTCACCAGGTGTCGGTAGACGTTGGGCGACACACGCTTCACCAGGCCCTGCAGGATGTCGCCGTCCAGCTGCACCCGCTCCATGCCCGGCCCGTAGTACATGGGCAGGTACTCCTTGCAGATGGAGACCAGGCACCAGAAGGCCTGCTCGGTCGGCATGTGCATGAGCAGCACGGCGGCCAGCGGCGCCTGCGCCTGGCTGTAGCCGTCCGCCGGGTTGTAGCAGGCGTAGGCGCGCAGCACCTTCATCAGCTCCTCCTGGCTGCGGGCACAGTGGGGGGTCACCGCCCCGGCCAGGCAGCCGTGCCTCACCGACACGTGGGGGTCACAAGACAGGAGAAATCACGACCTCCTGGTAGGGTAATCATGTGGGGGGGGGGGGGGGGGGGTCAGTCATGCGAGCAGCCAGGGTCTGTATCCACTGTCTTTTATGTTTTTGTCGGCGCATTTACGGGCGGTATTCCTGAAAGTGAACAGAATACGCTGGGCCAAATACATTACGAACCCGTTTCATCGACGTCAGTCTGCCAATCACCACGCATAGAACGTGCCTGCTCGCGTGAAAGCCAATGGCGGATCACATTGTGGTCATTACGTTTAAGGAGGGTTCTTGATCTTTGCAGAGAAATATGCAGTTCGATGTCACCATTGAACAACAATTTAAAGCGACTTGTGATACACTTCCTTGAAGCAAAGCAGCCGTAACCACAAAATTTGTCGACGCATCACCCAGATAAGGGCGGCCAGACACTGCCTGATTCACCAAGCCGTACTTCTCGTGAATAAAACTGGACACTGTGTGCTTTCGGTGGCACAATTCGTGTTGGATGAAAATACGCATTATATATATATATATATATATATATATATATATATATATATATATATATATATATATATATATATATATATATATATATATATATATATATATACCACGACGAGTTTACACCACGAAGGGAAAATTGACATCACAGTCCTTATTTTTTAGTAGCGTTATCTTTGCGGTTCAATATGCTTTTCATACTAATACCGAGCAACGTTACAAAATTCAGAAAACATGAGCTAAAACGTTGACACATGTATACAGTGACGTAACGTCACCCAAGCTATGCCCAAGTCAAGGCAAGTCTTGAAAACCGTTCCAAGCACGCCATCGTCGTGGATAGATATTGTAAGTAAAGGTCATGTAAGGTGAAGATACCGAAAATTACAGAAAAACAAATCAAGAGCATGATAAACGCATGGTTTCAGGTGACTCCACATTTCATGCGAGGTCAATGAGGTCACGGAGGTAAACCCCTTGCACGCAAATGGTGCTTGCTTTGCCTGAACATCGACCACCCTCGCTCTGCCCACACTCGACAAGCTACGCGCCAACGACAAAAAGGCCAATTTGACCTTGTTTGATCTAGCCTGATAGCTGACCGTGCAAGATAGCACAGCGTAACGACAGCAAAGCGTATGACAAAGACCCAGCATGGCTAAGTCCACGTCCCGTTGTAAAATGTTGCACCAACATATGCGGGGTGCTATTGGTTGCACGTTTCACGCCGACCTGGATGCGTAGGTCTGTCATTTTCTTAGAATTTGGCGTTCCATTCACACGAAACTGAACGTGAAAATCGGATCAAACAGATGCAGCAACGCCGTTTAGAATGTCACATTACCTAGCCGCTCCGTTCTGGCAACAAATCTGGATAAATCCGAATGGGATTATGTCTTGGATAGGATAACGCAGGAACAAGAAGGTGGTTTCGAAGCGGCCGCCAGCGTGCTCACTTGGGGTTTAATTCGGAGCACTCTTCTCGAGTGATTGAATGATCTTTTCCCGCAATCTGTCGAGTTCTGAATGATCTTTTCCCGCAATCTGTCGAGTTCCGTGTGGGTGCTATCGGGGCGACGTCTCCCGGGCGTCTTCTGGATGATGTGTCTTCTGGGGGGGGGGACGAACGGGCTAAACAGGCACGCCATCAACAAACTGACTCAACAGAGTGGGCGGCTTACCCCTGTCCGCCCTTGCGCATGAACATCTCATGCATGGGGAACTGGCGGTGGAGGTCGCGGCTGATCTCGTCCAGCACGTGGCTGTCGATGGGCATCTCCAGGAGGCGCTCGTAGGCGCCCACGTTGCGCTGCATCATGTAGTGGCCGCCGCAGAGGTGCTGCCAGGCGCGCGCCCGCAGCGAGGTCGGGATGCCCTTCCGGCACCGGCTGCGGACCTGCGCAGCGAGGGAGAGAGCGGCTCCGGTCAGCGGGCCGCCGCACTGCCGGCCAGCGACACACGCCGGCTGCGGACCTGCGCAGCGAGGGAGGGAGAGAGCGGCTCCGGTCAGCGGGCCGCCGCACTGCCGGCCAGCGACACACGCCGGCTGCGGACCTGCGCGGCGAGGGAGGGAGAGAGCGGCTCCGGTCAGCGGGCCGCCGTACTGCCGGCCAGCAGCACACAGCGGGCCACGGCCGTGGGACACGCGGGCATGGACACGCGGGGCCGCGGCCGTGGACACGCGGGCCGCGGCCATGGACACGCGGGCCGCGGCCGTGGACACGCGGGCAATGGACACGCGGGCCGCGGCCGTGCCACGCGGCCGCGAGCTGTGGACACGCGGGCCGCGGCCGTGCACACGCGGCCGCGAGCTGTGGACACGCGGGCCGCGAGCGGGCACGCGGCCGGCGTGGACACGCGGGCCACGGGCCGTGGACACGCGGCCGCGAGGCTGTGGACACGCGGGCCGCGAGCTGTGGACACGCGGGCCGCGGCCGTGGACACGCGGGCCGCGGCCGTGGACACGCGGGCCGCGGGCCGTGGACACGCGGCCGCGAGCTGTGGACACGCGGGCCGCGAGCTGTGGACACGCGGGCCGCGGCCGTGGACACGCGAGCCGCGGCCGTGGACACGCGGGCTGCGGGCCGTGGAACCGACAATGACACACCCATTACCAATTAGAGGGACAAAACATGCCTCCATAGCAGCGTTCAATGATTATTATCATGACCCCTCCAAATCGTAACAGCAGTACCCATCGGTGCAGAAACAATTAATTTTGTGACGCTACTTCTCTGAAAGCATGCCTCAAAAAGTGCCCAGTGTAAGCCTGGTCTGCCCTTCCGCGAGTATAAAGCTTGCATGCCTTATCTTCAACCTCCTCCGTTCGAGTCGTTCGAGAACGGCCGCTGTCCTTCTTCCGTGCCGACGGTCCAAATGCCTCGACCTGTTTTCATTACCGTGTGTATCGCTCGACTTTTACAGCGAACCGCCTCTGCCATCCGTTTTCCTTAAATGACGCTTCATTGGCATACAGAAGCGTCGGCGTCAGTGGGATGGCTCTGCGGACTATACTGCTGCTAAGCGCGTGGTTCACTGCCTTCAACGAGCTCTCCGTAACTCACTGACCTCACTAGGAACTCACATAGGAAGGAGCACGATAACGTCACCTTCGCCAAGCCCTCATTTGGGCAGCGTCCTGCAGATGTCACACTGAGCCTCCCGTAAAACGGTCCTCACAACCTGTCGCACGTGTTGCAAGCGACGAGGCTCTCGCTCTACCACCTCGGATGATCAGACCGTATGCAGGACGGCGCACTACGCCGAGAAAAGTGCGTTTTAATGAACACTTCAAGGTATGCGTTTTAAAGGGTTGCGCGGCGAGATCTGTGCGCTGCCCACGGGCTACGCAGATATTTGATTGACGCTGGACGATTGAAAGCTGTCTTCTTTGGCCCCTTGGAAATACGTCGCGTTGAGATTTGATAACAACGATGTGTGTTGTGCTGTTGAGCCAAAGGTAGACAGCTAAGCTTACACCTCGGCGGTCCTTGCTAGACAACAGGATTGATACGTTAACGCGACGGGACGCTCGCGGGATACAAACGCACGTGACCAAGGCTGGATGTGATTCGCTAAAGGTGGCTATCGAAAGTCAGCTGCGCTTTGAAAAGCAACACATCCCCGACAGCAAGCACGCCCGCACGCAGCGTGCTCAAGTTCTGAGCAGGACGAGGGACTCTGAGGACTAGCAGTGATGAGCGACTTAAAACAGAAGACAAACACTGATGTTGGCGACTGACCCTGAAAACAAACACTGTTGTTGACACTGGGGCTGCCAGCTCTGGAGAGGATGACGACCAGTTGCGTCATGCATGACTTCGTGCCATATTCCACACTGCCGGTTACGTGTTTTGATAACAGCGCTTGGAAAAAGTCCCGCACCTTTTTGAAGTCGTGCGTCATAAAGTAGTCCCAGTGCTGCAGCATTTCCAGCCACTTGCGCTCCCGCTGTCGGAGCATCTTCACGGGCAGCTTTTCCTCGCTGAAACGGTGCATCGAGACATCAGCCACCCTCCGTTTGGCCTTTTGCCCACATTTCCCTCCCTCCCACGACGCCAGCAACACAGAAAGATCATAATGGGAGTTCACAGACAAAGTGAAGCACAAAGTTGCATTTCCGAAGTTGTCCTGGAAAATTTACACCACCGAGGCAGTGCAACACATTCCTGCTATACGAGAATACCCACAGAACTGATTCATCCGATGGCCATCCCAGCGATATCAGTTGGCGTCGATGATTCATGAGCTTCCTGAAAGCTGGAGACCTTAGGCCACGCGGTGAACCGCGGGACCGAACTTCCTTCCTCAGCGTCGGGCTAATGAGTCAATGCAAAGCGGCGTGGCAATCCACAGCATCACTGTTTTAGACATGTGTCATCCAGCGTCGCGCCGCGGCGGGCTTAAGTCCACGATGGGCACTGGATGCATCCGAACACATCATAGTTATGAACGGCCCTCACTATACGTAAACGAAATATGTTTGACGTCTCGCAAGAATCTCAGTTCTTCACGTCCGTGGTCTCTCTTTGTGGGATCCGCCACCACGCAGTCATCACAGAAGCTATTCTGCACTTTCAAGCATACACATAGAGCTTATTATGATATGGTATAGCAGTGCACAGCAATCTAAACCCTTTCTAAATGGATTCAGGTTGTCATCAGAAAACCTGAAATCACCCCACTGCTGTAAAACACTAAATCAAGTAAATTTATGAAATGCATTACCGTGTCGCCATTGAGCAGCGAAACCTAACGATAAATTTTAACCTCGTCTACATTGAAAACTTGTCAAATGGCAAAACAATTTGGGTCTCTTATGAACCACAGGACTCCTCACGAACCAAGACAACTGGCAAACATATGCTCTAAAAAGCACATAAACTAAAGCGTGAAATGTACGAAAATGTTGCAATATTGGAAATAAAATCTAACACCAGATACCCTCACACATTAATGCGCCAAACTGTTCGCTTTTATGTCAAAAAGTGCATATAGATCACAAATTCTGCTAACAGTGAACAGCACAGCATGGCGGATTTCCAGGTCTTTGCATTTGCTGCTTCGCGGCTGAGCGGCAGCTGCCATTGCCGGGCACTCCACTTCCGCAACGCTCCGGTGCCGGATGGAGCTCCCTCGGTATAGGCAGTGGCGAATTCTGATAACCTTCGCGTACGGATATGTGCAGTGATGGTGCCAGTTGCAACTGCCAGACACCCCACTTCCGCAATGCTCCGGTGCCGGATGGAAATGCCTCGGTATATGCGGCAATGTGTCCTGATGACCCTCGCGCTACCGCTGGTCCTTTGCACCATTATTGGGTACTCGGGACACGTCATTCTGGGTCTTGGGCTTTTGCTGATATTTTTGACGACGTAACTATTCAGTTCATTTTTCATGGAATTGGCAGAAGGTTCTGATTTCAACCCACAATTTGACAGCCTCGAAGAATCGGAACTCCTGCTTGTCGCCATGTTTGCGCTGCCTTCTGTCGTGACGCTATGGGCGGAACAGCGGCGACCACAGCTCCGCCAGGCAGTACCTGCCCACCATTACGGCCACACCTCCAAATTTTTGTCTACACGACAGAACTATTGTGGCGTTACGACAAAACTTCCACGAAACAAACAGACGTCCCAACAGTAAACGGAACCAGCCGAATTCTAAGAGCGTTAACTAGAAAATATTTCCGCGTTGTATCAATGTACCAGATTCAAGACGTCTGCGATGCTTTTGATTCCGAGACTGCGCTTCCATAAACTTGACTGTATGCACCTACAATTTCTGGCATGATACGCGGACCAATTAACATGCGCCCTGCTCCAATATAGGACTCATGAACGACCTTTCAGAAGATTGCCCATCCTGACGAAAGAAACAGACGAAGATCAGTGATTGTCTGACAATGTCGTAGATAAGTGCTCGCACATTTACCTAGACATACCATGGATTCCAAATTTTGCACTTCATTTTTTTCTTCAACAGGCGGAAAATACCGATTCAACCAGGAGGTTTTGAACCTCAACAAATTCCGAACACCTAAGGTATCACCACTTTTATGCTTCGTTTTCTGCTGTTAAGCTTTGGTCCCTAACATTCCGATTGTGACCGCAACATCCAGTGATTCTTATCTCCCATGGGATCCGTATTTCGGCAAAAGCTTGGCAGCATTATTACCAACAAGCAAACAATGTAGCTCAAAACCATCGGCAGCACATGGTCCACTTGATTATCATAGCATGCCAATGGCGTCATTTTTCATAGGACGCAGGTAGTCGTCTGGACAGCAGAGCATCCAAAAACTAGCCCATGGTTTAGGCAACAGGAGTCTTGAAGACACTTTCACTTGGATCATTGCAGTCTTTGACAGGCAATCAGCTGTGCAATACTGCGACCACTCGCGAGTGAGCCTTACTGCAACTGAAATCCTTCGACCTCGAGCACCACACCCCTATAAAAAGGGAACACCCTCAATATACAATTCTGTATCTCTGTACAAGACACAGCACCCCCATTTCACCCCACTTAATTTATTGAACGCTCTGTGGTCAATTACCCCTCAGTGTGCTTCCCTCCCATCAACATCAGTATCGCTGCCATCCGAACCAACACCGTCACCGCGATCACAACTCACTCATAGTGGAAGTCGTCGCCGTCGACGTGCATAAAGCCGTATTTATCGGGGATGGTGGAGACGTTGGAGACGGCCGCGTTGGTGACCTGCTCGGAGCTCGAGCTGGTCTCGTTGTCCGACACGTCCATGGACGTGCTGGACGGCTGCTGCTCCGCCGACATGGTGATAAGCCGACCCGGGGACCGGGGCACTGCTGACCGCGGCGGCGGCGGCGGCGGCGCCCGGGACACCTGCAGATGGGCACAGCATGGGTCAAAAAGTGCAGGCAGGTAGGGTGACCTGACATGCATCCATCTGTAAGCATGGACAAAAACTAGAGAAGAAAATGTTTGTGAGCTTTGAAAGGCACCGCATGATCTTTGATAACAGTAGCTTTAGCCTTTGACTACCTTTGTGATTAGATCTCCACATCCAGAACTGTTCACAGAATCACGTTATGCCCACCACTAGAAGGGAAAAGTGCATGAAACACCCCAGAAGGCAATCATCATCATAAGTGAAATAAAACAGGTTTTCCACTGCAGCCTGAAAAACAGCCTATGAGAGATAAGGCCCCAGCAACCAGCTGTAACAGCATGCCAAATGACAGCAAGGTGGTCCACAGGGCCTTTTCCAGCCATCATAGCCATCTGTTATCACTATCATGGATTGAAAGCTCATCAGGCAGCTGGATATGCTGCTGCAAGAGATCATCTCAGGGTTTGCAAACTCCACACTGCCTTTGAAGAAGTGTTGCCTTTTACAAGTAACATCTGCATACCCACCCTGTACCTATACAGTAACACCTACACCCATCCTGTACTCATACAGCAATACCCATACCCACCTGCCACATGCTGTGTGCAGGTTTTGACCCTCTGCTTATTGATCCATTATTGATATTGTACTCTTTGGTTCTTTGTTCTACCATTTGGGATATTCAAGCAGTTTTACAGTTGGTTGGCTCAAATTCAATCCCATGTATGTTGCATCTCAGATAATTTGATCTGTCACATTCAAATAATACTTCCAGAGTCAACAGCTGATTTCAGTAGGTGTCAATACATCTTAGCATTCTAGTCATTTGTTTGGTTGAGGGAAGTCAAGCAGATGGCACTGAGCTTCACATGTGCTGTAATAAGTACGACATTATTGTCTGTCACAAGTCTGCACCAAATTGTCTGCCTACCTAAGAATGAAAAACACTTGGTTCCTTTATCAACTTAAAAGTTTGGACTTCAGCACATTTGTAAATTTTAGATATGTGACACTACACGGAGAAGTTTATATATAATATACACCTTCCTTGATAATATGAGAAAAAAGGGTATTCATAGTTACTTTTTCTTATAATACTCCCTTTCAAGTCACCACATATAGCAAACTCAGAATAGCAATGTCTGGGTGCTCTGGCAGCATGGGTGTGACTACATTCCTGAGATCTGAGGGCCAAATTAGGACTGTAGGTGTCAACCTCACATCTGATGGGGTCAACCTGACCTGAGAACTACATTTTGAAGGGGAAAGCATGCCTAAACATTCATTCTATAGGCAAACATAGAGGGAATCAACAGCCATTACAGCCAACTTTAGAGCATCTGTCCCCTCCAGCCTGTCCATGGTCACATCAATATTTGACAGGGCTGCAAACCCACACAGCTGGGGTTGACTCATCCCAGCTGGCTGCAGCATATTCCCTAGTGAGATTGCCAAATGTATGATGTGGGGGATACAAGAAAAATATAACAGCTGATGTTATTTACTTATAATTAGCTGACATGTGTGGGCTCAAAGCCCTGATAAAATCCCTGTTTACCTACAGTATACTGCAAGCACATTGAACAAAGAGTAATGAAGGAGAGAAAATCTGGACTGAGGCTTACTAGTGAGCGCTCAGGCTGCCCTGAGGGCCCAGCGCCGTTGCTGTCGCAAGCAGACCTCGCCAGACAGACACAGGGAACCTCACCTCAGAATTTAAAGGTGAATCCGAGGGCTACGCGTCACAAGAATTGATGGACCCTACACTGACGTTCTGGACGATATCCATCAATCGACTTGATTCGCCGTACCCGTCCTTCAGCTTATGGCGTGAAACACCCACACCCACGACGCACAACCCCTCACGCCCCGCGCCGTACACGTCCCACTCACAGCCCCAACAACTGCTCTGCTACCGTAATCTATGGTGTCAACAGCGCAATAAGATGCCTCTGTTGCGCCATGTAAGCC